AGGCGCTTTTGCCGCTGAGCTAAATCCCCACACAGGCTCCTTTTTAAGGAACACAAAATCAAATGAGGAGCAAGGAAATATGGTGGTCAGGCCTACCTGTAGGGACAAGTGCTATAGGCCAGTGATTGGCAGCTTTTGAGTTGCTGAATAAGGGGACACACCTCTCTCCTGTTCTCAGAACGATGCATGTGTACACTCAGTTTTGCATCCAGTTTAAGGGGTCCTTAGACCTGACTGTGATTGACCCTGGACCTTTCCATTACCCAGGGTGGCAAAGGCCGCTAAGCCCCTGGAGAATCTGAGGCAGACACCCATCCAGAGTCCAGCTTGATCTTTCCTAGGACACAGGGTTTATGGAGAAAGGAAATCTTGTATCAGGCTTGGAAGGATGAGTAGCTGGAATGAGTGTGCCCCGGGCATAAGTTATTCCTACCATTTAGTATGAGAGAGGACAGAAATAATTGCCTTTCGCTGTTCCATCTCTCAGTCGGCCCCATAGAACGTTCACAAGCCACTTGGATAGAGGCACAGTAGACACAAATGTGAATTCAGATTCAAATACATCAAAACTACACATATATAGACTCTGATATTGGGCCACGCAGGCAGACTGGCACAAAACTGCAGAGATAGGAGAGTACAAAGGCAACCCAGTTATACCTAGTCAATGAACCAAGGCACCGAAATTCAAACTCGCCAAAGCGCAAACCCCCACCGCCAGCGGAGCACTCATTAAGGGGCGGGGCCTTGGGGGCGGAGCTTCCCGGGTTGAGGCGGGGTCAAAGGTCAGAAGGCGGAGGCGTGCCCAAGATGGCGGCCTCCATGTGCGACGTGTTCTCCTTCTGCGTGGGCGTGGCGGGTTCGGCCCGGATTGCAGTGGAAGTTCGCTTCGTGAGCAGCGCCAAGGTGAGACCAGGGCAGATCCCGCCCGGAGCCCGGACCCCGTGAGTCCTTGGAGACAGCCCCGGGGATCTATGCATAGAGGTTCTTGGACAGCTTGGCCCAGCCCCTGCTCGTGGTCAGAGTTCCCTGTTTGTCTCCGTGCACAGGTTCTTAGAGCGGTCGCGCTGTAGATCCCGGTCTCCAGAATCTCCGCCCGTGCCCTGTTCCAGCGGGACCCGGTCCTCCCGCCCGCAGCCTTCTGTGGTTGCGTTAGGCGGAGCTGGGGGCTCTGGGCCTCCTGGGGTAGGCTGAAAGCATTGCTGCCGGGGCCGGGGAGTGGTTGATGGGGACGTACAGGACAGAGGGAATTCAGTTGCAAAAAATCATGGGTCCTCAGGGACCTTTTTGTGTGAGAAATGGGGTGGTAGGATGCGGCGTGAGCAGGACCTTATCAAGGGTCTTGAAGCAGTGAGGAACTTGGGTGAGAACCCACATGCCGGGTGGGCATTCGAGGGGTTTTAAGCAGCAATAACATGATTTCTTTTTTATTATCATGTCATAGAAGTTCGTTGTAGAAGAAAACATAATGTATCGAAGGAAATTAAAGATAAAAATCACTCAATCCTATGCTTGTGCAAATGTATATGTATATTACGTCACATTTTTAGAAAATGCTTTTTGGATGCAAGAGTGAATCTTTCAATATCAATAAACGTCTTACAATTTCGATAAACCTATTCATTTTTTGAAAAAATAAAACAATTCCATAATAATATAATAACTATTTATTATGCTGTGTATCGTTATCTTTAGAATAATTACTCAGAGTACAAGACAAGATGTGAGGGCTATCTGGCTGCAACATCCGTCACCCCATTGATCGCCTGAGTTGATTTGGCTGATCTGGCTGGCTAGGCGGTGTCCCCTTTCCTCCCTTGCTGCTCCCGAAGTTGCAGTTGCGCACGCACTCGGTCAAGGAGGAAGACCATCCCTATTGCCTTGGTCGAGGGAGTAGCTGCGCTCCCCTGCTAGAACCTCCAAACAAGCTCTCAAGAGTAAAAGTCATTTTGGGGCTGGGGATTTAGCTCAGCGGCAAAGCGCCTGCCTGGCAAGCGCAAGGTCGTGAGTTCGGTTCCTGGTACCGGACAAAAAAAAAAAAAACAAAAAAAAAAAAACAAGAGTAAAAGACATTTTTAAAAAGTAAAAGACATAAACCAAAAAGATTCTTACAAAAGAGAAACATAATAACAAAACTTTCTTTAACGAACTAAAACTAGTATAAATGAAACAAATTAGCAAATATATTGAAGTATCTTTCAAACAATGGAATTTGTAATTTGGAGAAGTATTTGAACTTCTTCCTACTTTCTATTTATCTCTCTTCTACTTTGCTCTGTCTGTATGCCCACACAAATAACTAGCATTGTGTGTGTGTGTGTGTGTGTGTGTGTGTGTGTATTAATATTATATAATGTTTCTCATATAAGAGTATCCATAGATAGTTGAACTTTTGTGTCTGGCTTCCTTTAGCATTATGTTCTCAAGTTGCTTCCATTACCTACAAATGCGTTGTTTATCTTTATGTCAGTGTATTACTCCATCGTGTATAAATACCTCTCTTATCCATTCATCAGTTGATGGATATGTATGCTGTTTCCAAGATCTAGCTATTATAAATTGTGCTGCCATAAACGTGGATGTGCATATATCCCTGTAATATAATGATTTTCACTCTTTTGGGAAGATATTTGGAAGGGAGATAGCTGGGTCAAGTGAAGTTTCTATTTTTACTTTTTTGAAGCATCTCCACGTTGATTTCCATAGTGGCTGTACTAGTTTACAGTCCCACCAACAATGTAGAAGTGTTCCTTTTTCCCCATATTCTCACCAGCATTTGTTATTATTAAATTATTTGGTGATGGCTATTCTTTCTGGGGTAAGGAGGTATCTCAGTGTAGTTTTAATTTGCATTTCTCTAATAACCAGTGATGAGCAGCATTTTTCATATATTTATTGGTCATTTGTACTTCTGAGAAGTGTCTGTCTATTCGTTTTGGTTGCCCATTTCTTTTGATTGGGTCTTTGGGAGGTCTAATTGTTTTAGTTCTTTATATATTCTTTTGTTTGTTTGTTTTGAGACAGGGTCTTGCTATGTAGTTCATGCTGGCCTTGAACTCACTATGTAGCCTAGCCTGGTCTCAAATTCATGGCAGTCTTCCTGCCTGAGCTTCCCCTGGGATTATAGGCATGCACTACAATGCCCAGCTGTTTATGGATCCTTTATGTTGTGTATTATTTTTCACTTCTGGGATCAAAGAACTTGGCATTTAAATTCTGTGAAGACACTGTTTGTTCTTTCTAGCATTATTTTCTGTCTTACTTTGTCAGTTGACATATGCAAAATGGTATTGCTTTGTTCTCTGGGGTGGGGTAGGCATTAGTGAGGTTGAAAAATTTGTAGCGTCTCTGTGTATTCCTAGTCCTTGCCCAAGATATTAGCTCTCTAGTCATCTGTCTTCTGCTGTCAGCATCTTTGTATCGATCCAGTTTCCCCCTGTAGGCTTCCCTTGTGCTATTTCTGCTCTGGAAGCATCTGGAGTACTCTTCTTCCACAGAAAATCAGCTATTCTACATCCTCGGTCTCCTTAGCTGCTCACATCTCCATCTCCTCCCAGAGCCTCTAGTGCTCCCAGCTGGCTCACAGTTTGATAGGTCTCCATTCCATCTCTCCTAGTTTGTGGTAATATTTCACCTTTATCTTTAGCTTCTCTCATCTCTTAGCCCTCTCCTTTCTTCACTTCTTCCTTCTCACTTCATCACTTCAGCCACACCTCTTGCCCAGTTGTCCTGCCCCGGACTTTTATCAGGATAGTAGCAGTGGCGCATACCTGTAACCCCAGCTACTTGGGCTGCTGTGGCAGGAGGGTTGCAAGTTTGAGGCCATCCTGGACAATTTAGAGACTTAGTTAGAGCCTGTCTCAAAATAAAAAATGAAAAGGGCAGGGGATGTAGTTCAGTGGTAGAGTGCCCCTGGGTTTGATCCCCAGTACCACACACAAAAAAGCAAAACAAATAAAAACCATAGCTGGTTGCCCTCTCCATCTCTACATCTAATCTGCTGTTGGAGAAGACCATATACCTGCATGAGCTGGTAACAAGGTGGATTATCCTGGGCTTTTGCACCTGTACTCATTGAATGAGATTGGTTTGTGGTTTACTTCTTTGTGTCATTTTCAGGTTACCACTTGAAGGTCATGTTTGATTTAGGGTAAAATGATAATTATTTATTGTTTGGAAGTTTGGGAGAACTGTCTTATGAAACCATGTAGACAAAGGGCATCATGGGGGCGTAGGTTTTTACAACATTTTACTGCATCTACAGATATTGGCTGGAATGATTTTGAAATATGTACCAACTGTTTCCCCAGGGACAGAACCAGTTGGGCAGAAACCCAAGTAGATCTGTGAACTAGCTGGAGTGCCATTCTGGTGTACGCTTGCCAGAGCTCACCCTGGTTTATTAGTCTGGCTGGCCTCTCTTCCTTTTGAATTATTTTGGTCATTTGTATTTTTCTAGAAAACCATTTCATCAAGATTTTAAAGTGTACCATATGGAAGCGAGGCATGGTAGTACATGCCTGTAATCCTAGCACTTGGGAGGCTGGGGCAAAAGGATTGGCACAAGTTTGAGGCCAGCCTGGGCTGCATAGACCCTGTTTCAAAATACCAAAAATAAATAAATAAATAAGCAGACAGACAAACAAGCAAACTACATGGAGCTGGGCATGATTGAGCACTTGTAGTCCCAGCACTTTGGGAGGCTGAAGTAGAAGTATCACAGTTCTGAGCCTAGCCTAGGCAACTTAGCAACTTAGTGAGACCCTCTTTCAGAATAAAAAATATAAGGCTAGGGATGAAGTTCAGTGTGAAGGATCTGGGTTCAATCCTTTAACTTTTTTTTTTTTTTTTTTTTGAGATAGGGTCTTGCTTGTGGCCCAGGTTGGCCTTGAACTCACAGCAGTCCTTCTGCCTCACCCTCCCAAGTGCTGGGATTACCAGTGCGTACACACCACTACACCCGGTCACACTTGACATGAATGAGATCTATATTTCTTGAAATACTTTCCTCTGTTTTGTGGATGAGTGGATTTATAAAACGAACACCTGGGGGCTGGGGATTTAGCTCAGCGGCACAGCACCTGCCTGGCAAGCGCAAGGTCATGAGTTGGATTCCCGGTACCGGAAAAAATAAATAAATAAATAAATAAAAGGAACAACTCTAATTCTTTTCCTTTTATTTTTTTCTCTCAGTACTGGGGACTGAGTCCAAGAACTCGTGTATGTTGTGGTCTACCACTTGATCCAACCCTAGCCCCACTCTCCCCCTTTTGTTTTGATTACCAAATATTTTCTCAGTTTAGTCCTCCAGAAGAGGGAGAAAGAGCTCTCTATTTATCCAGTAGTGAGATATGACATTTTCATTTTGCCAGCTTGGGTTTCAGAGGCCACAAAGTGTGGGGGTGGGGCTTCCAGGAAGTCAGTCAAGGTGCATTTGTGGCTTTGCCCCTGGTTTTGTCTCACCGGTCCCATTCTCCTGTTAGGGTTATTCACAGGATTGAGATTTTGTGGCTCATGGGTTGCCCAGGGCCTATTCTGGTCCACACAACTTTTCTGCTCTAGGTTTGGTAGGGGCCCCATCTTGCCAGAGCACCAGTGCTAAAAGGAAACAGCTCCCCAGGAAGTCATAGTGACGGCATTTTTACTGCTGTGTTAAGCACTTTTCTTCTCTCTCTCTGTCTGGCAGCTCGGTGTTGGCAGGGGCACTGCTGTCTTCTCTAAGTGAGCAGGGGGATTAGGTGCCCGCAGGGCCAGTGACTGCCTCAGCCAACTCCTGAGTCTGGCACGGTGGAGAGACGGCCGTTCAGAGATTGTTTACTCATTGTTCATTGTGATGTGTACAGGGCTGTATACCTGAGAGAGAAGACAGAGATGGAGAGAGGGACAGGGAGCGAGAGGATATTAGATCAGGGCTTCTCAAACTTTAACATGTGTAGGAAGCGTCTCAGCATCTTGTTAAGATCCAGATTCTGATTCAGCAGGTCTGGGGAAGGATTCAAACATCCCAGGTAATACCCTTGTTGCTAGTTCTGCACCTCAGATTGCGTAGTAAGGAGCTAGAGCTCGTGAGATGCCTGTGCCGTATCACCACATCCTGGAAACTACCTGATAAGTGTTATAGTACCCCTCACATGGGAAATGGTGTAAAGAAGTGAAGCAACTGGCTCACAGGTTGACAGCAAATTAACATCAGGGCTGGTGCGAGGATTAGCTCATTCCTTGTATTGCAACCCTTGCATACTTGTTTGGGTGCCAGGTGCTGTGCTACCATAGATGCTGTACCCTGCAGACCAAGGAAAAAGGCATTTCACTTCCCCGCAGGGGTAGGGTTTCTCTGGGTTGGTGTTGGGCTGAAAGGGCTGCCCTGTCATTACCAGCTGCTGCTACGGGAGGCCTCAACCTGCTGGGACTTTGACCCTGTTCTAGCCATGCTAAGAATTCTCTGAATGGCTTGACATGGTTGCTATTGCAACTCCTTCTGCTGCCAGGCCCCAAATGGGCTGAAAGGAGGTCAGAGCCACTCTTCCAGGGCAGGGAGTTATGGAGGTTGCAGAGCATTCACTCTGAACCATCAGGGGCAGAGGCCTCTGCTAAGAGGAAGGCATGTGGTGTGAGTCTGGGTGGCTTTTCCGGAGCTCTTGGAGGTCTGTCTTCTGTCCCGTTTATGGCCATCCTGTCTTTTTTTTTTTTTTTTTTTCTTGTTTAGGGAAAAGGACTGTTTGCTACACAACTGATCCGGAAGGGAGAGACTATATTTGTAGAAAGGCCCCTAGTGGCTGCACAGTTTCTCTGGAATGCACTTTATCGCTACCGAGGTGAGCGCATCTCATCTATTCCTCATGGCTGCTGAGCCCTGCCACTTTTGTGTACGGAAGACAGCTGCATACATCTGTACTAACTGATGTCTCTGGGACTCTGGGTGTTGGGAGAATATGCTCTCTTACCCTGCAGAACTGCCTGAGAATCACACCTCTGTCCACTCTCAGGTGTTGGGAGCTGTGTCCCTGTGGTAACAGGCTCTAATATGCTCCCTCAAGGAGTTCTTTCTCTCAGGTGGAACTCAGAGCCCCACACACTGAATCTGATTGAGGAGGACTTAGAAGGAGGTGCCAGGTGTTCTTTTTTTTTTTCTTTTTTTCTTTTTTGTGACAGGGTCTTGCTATGTAGTTCAGGCTGGCCTTGAGCTCACTTTGTGGCCCAGGCTGGTCTCAAACTCACAATGATCCTCCTGCCTCAGCCTTCTGAGTGCTGGGATTACAGGTGTGCACCACCATGCCCGGCTTTTTTTTTTTTTTGGTACCGGGAATTGAACTCAGGACCTTGCACTTGCCAGGCAGGTGCTTTTGCCACTGAGCTATATCCCCAGCCCAACTTATTTCTCCATCAGTTTTGTTTGTTTTGTTTTGTTGGTACTGGGAATCGAACTCAGGACCTTGTGCTTGCCAGGCAGGTACTTATGCCGCTGAGCTATATCCCCAGCCCCAGGTGTTCTTGAGAGGAAGAGGGGTCGTTTACCTTTGGATGCATGTGACATGCATTCATTCACTCCATTAAAGTAGTAATTCATTCACTCTCCAGACTTATATGGAACACCTGCTTTGTGCCAGGTGCCATTCTAATTGGAGGGGTGGAGGGGAGAATACCACTGTGAAAGGAGAGATAAGGCCCAGCTCTTGGACATTTACATTGTGTCTGGCTCTCATCCTTAGCCTGTGACCACTGCCTCCGGGCTCTGGAAAAGGCAGAGGAGAATGCCCAGAGGCTGACTGGGAAACCAGGCCAGGTTCTCCCTCACCCAGAGCTATGCACTGTGCGCAAGGACCTCCACCAGAACTGTCCCCACTGCCAGGTGAGCATCCCAGGGGAATGCAACTAAAAGGGGGTGGGCGAGGGAGGCCTCAGTTGAAGTCCTCACTGAGGAGACAGGGGCCCAGACAGACCTGGTCATAGCCCTCAAGCGCCCTGATGCAGGGTAAAACATTGAAAGGACTCAGTAATTGTCTGTTCCATCCTCCTTATTCCAGTTCCATTGTCTAGTAAATGGGCTTGGTGGGAGCTTGCCTTCTTCTTGGGGCGGGGGCTCTCCTCTCTACCTGAAAAATTCTCTTCTCTTTCTGTAGTTTTATGAGTCTAGGTTAGGGGCCCTCCCACATTCCTTCAGAGTGCCCTATGTTTCTCATCTCATAATTCCTGAGCTCATGCTCAGAGGCTGTTGGTGGAAGGAATGCAGCTAGGGTAGGTGAGTGTCTCATGGGATATCTGTGCGTTGCTCTCTTCACCCCATGGCCAAATCCTAGGGCCTTGACCTCTGCCCCACCTAACAGGTGATGTACTGCAGTGCAGAATGTCAGCTGGCAGCTGCGGAGCAGTACCACCGGGTCCTGTGCCCAGGCCCCTCTCAGGATGACCCCCTGCATCCTCTCAATAAGCTGCAGGAGGCATGGAGGTAGGTCTCTTCCTCTTTTATCTTTCTCTCCTGGCCTACCTGCCTAGGCTTAGCATATGTTGCCAACTTTCTTATTACCATCCTGCAGAGATTTCCTCCATTCTTATGGTTAAATAGAAGGCACAGCACCCAACTCTCTGCCTTTAATCTGGGCTGCCAGGCCCACCATCTTCAGTGCTTTACACCTTCCAGAAAGCGCCCATAGGATGCAAAGTCTACCTGAGTCCTGCCCAAGTCCTGCCTCCTTTTGGTGGCTGATGGAAGTGGCCCTTGTTTCTCTGTAGCAGTCAGACTGGGCTCCTCAGAGCTCAGCTGGTGGGGAGGGAATTTCAAGGCCAAACTTTTTCTTTCCCTAGGAGTATTCACTACCCACCTGAGACTGCAAGCATCATGCTGATGGCCCGAATGGTGGCCACAGTGAAGCAGGTAAGCCCACCTGACCCTCCCAGGGAACATGACCGGTGCACTCAGCCTCGGGTCTCAGTCTTACATCAGAGCCCTAGCTTGGATGCACAGTCACTCCTGGGCTTCCCAAAGGAGAGAGATGCTTGCTGTATACAGTCTTAGCTAAGCATAAGTCAGGGCACATTTTGTAGGTCATCTTACCTTCATAGGAAGATGTGTCATGCAGCATTTGATTTATAAGCACCACTTTTGCAGGATTCTTTCTCTTACATAGACTGAAGAAAGCTATTCTAACCTTCTACTTTTTAGTATTGTGGTTCCTCAGCCTAGTTTCCTGTTTTCCAAGTGTTTTGAGTTGGCTAGCTTGGCTCCAGCTGGAGCCATGGTGGGGTGTGGGCAGCATGAGGTGGAAGTCTCAGGCAGAGGCAGGCTCCTGGGAGCTCATGTGTGGTGGTGGTTCCCTGATGGCAGAGGCTGTCTATCCTGCATGGATGGGAGTGCCACTAAGGAGGTGGCACTTCCAAGTGCTCCTTTCAAGGAGCTTCTAAGATCCTTAAGTACATTCGTCCTCTACAGGCCAAGGATAAGGACCGGTGGATCAGGCTCTTCTCCCAGTTCTGTAACAAAACAGCCAATGAAGAAGAAGAAATTGTCCACAAACTCCTGGGGGACAAATTCAAGGTTAGTCTTCTCCCATGATCTGTCTCTACCTCTTACCCTCCAAAATAACCTGGGATGGCTGTGGCTACTTCTGGGGAAGTCTATATTTCATCTCTTCTGAGCTAGAGAAAGGGATTAGAGCCTGGGCCCCCCAAATTGATCAGAGGACTTACATCCCTGCCACTGTTTAACTTTATGATGTAATGTATTTTTTATTTTTTTCTGGTACCAGGAATCGAACTCACGACCTTGTGCTTGCCAGGCAGGCGCTGTGCCGCTGAGCTAAATCCCCAGCCCCCTCATGATGTAATGTAGATCTAAAACTGGGAAGTGGGAGAGTGGAGTGGTGACAGAGGAGGGGTTGGATACCCTGCCCTAAGAGTTCCCTTCACATTGTCTGAGAAGGCAAGACTCCTGTCAGAGGGTAGCAGTAGGCAAGTCAGTTACAATAGGAAGTGGAGGGCTGCAGGTCCACAGGGTCAGCTGAGTGCCCATTCCCAGAGTACACATTTGCGATGAGGACAGTACATTTCCACATGGAGCTGCCTGAAGGCAGAGGCAGCTGTGGGGAAGAAATGCTTCGGGGGTAGGCCCTCCTGTTCTGAATTCAGAGGAAAAGAAGGAAGAGCTGAGTGGGTTTGGAGGCCAGGTCAGGAGGCCCAAGAAAGGTAGTGAGAATAAATGGCCTTAGCCAAGCTGCCTCGGCCTCACTGGTACAAGTGCTAGGAAACAGGGAGAAAGGTTGGGTTCATTACCCCGGGTTGAAGGTCAGCAGACTGCCAAAGCTCTTTGGAGATAAGGACTTTGGGGCTTTCCTCTGACCCCAGGAAAAAGCTCATCCTGCAAAACAGGCCCTTTTTCCTTCCCTCACCTGATCTACCTGGATGCCCAGGGGAAATCCCCAGGATGCAGGTCTTTCCCTACTTCTGATTCACCAGGGCCAACTAGAACTTCTGCGGAGACTCTTCACAGAGGCCCTCTATGAAGAAGCACTCAGCCAGGTGAGTGTGGGGAGGCTGAGGCCTCCCCCTCCTGGTCACCACTCCCTAGGAGCAGCTAGGTCCTTATCTCCTAGGGCAGCTAAGCCAAAGCTGGTTTGTTCTTCTGGAGTCGGGATGGGGCAGGTACTTACAAGTTTTCCTGAACAGAACCGTAGCAGAAAGAAAAGCAAAGGATTGTAATCCTAGCACTCAGCTCTTCTCTCCACAGTGGTTCACTCCGGATGGATTCAGGTCTCTGTTTGCTCTTGTTGGGACCAATGGTCAAGGAATTGGGACCAGGTCAGGAGAGAATGTTCCAGAGCTATTAGATTGTCCTCAGGGTTCAATTGGGTGATTGACTGAGGAAGGTAGCCATATTTTCTTTCAAGCCTGGGGTGGGGGTGGGTGTCACTTTAGCCAGAGTGCTGAGGTGGATGTGGTAGGGGGAGCCCAATCTCAGGAGTTTGCCCCTGAGAGCTTTGGTCTGTTGGGGAATTGGGGCCCCCATCTTCGAGAAAGAATTGGGATGGGATGGGAGCCCCTTCTGCCTGGGCGTAACTTGCCCTGTCATTTGGGGCTTCTCTCCAAACATGGGCCGCCTGGAAACCCCAGCTCCCTCAGCCAGTGGGTCCATGCCTGTGATGCTCTAGAACTGAAGCCTCAGGACCGTGAGCAGCTGGACGCCTTCATTGACCAGCTATACAAGGACATCGAGGCAGGTTGGTAAGACGGGGTCATGGCCTCGCCCAGCTTTGCAGACCCTCCCCTCTGCCCCCAGTCAGATGGTAGACACAGTCACTGCCAGGAAGCACGGAGTCAGTGGTGGGGAAAAATAATCCCTTTGTACCTGTGGGCAGCTTCAGATCTGTCCACAGGACACGTGCTCCAAAATGGCCCAGAGATGCACCCAGAGGCTCCATCTTGGGAGGAGGGGGAGTGCCGGACAAATAGGATGATGTTGCAGACAGAAGAGTAAGCTTGTGCTTCAGAGAAGCAAGTTTTGGTACAGTGGTAGGGCCCGAGTATGTTAGTATGGTGGGGCGGCAGGACAGTGGAACCAGTGCCTTTCCTTGTCAGCCTAGTTTTCTTCTACCTATAAAATGGGTAGAACCAAGCTGGGCGTGGTGGCGCATGTCTGTAATCCCAGCACTTGGGAGGCTGAGACAGGAGGATTGTTGTGAGTTTGAGGCCAGCCTGGGCTACAAAGTGAGTTCAAGACCAGCCTGAACTGCATAGCGAGACCCTGTCTCAAAAACACCAAAGAAAATGGGTAGAACAGTGTCTGCATATTACTGTTTTACAGCTACTGGCGAGTTCCTTAACTGTGAAGGGTCTGGCCTCTTTGTGCTTCAGAGCTGCTGTGAGTCATGGCACTGGGTGGGCGTAGGGGGTGGGGGGTGGACTGGGCCCTTGCTGGGTAGCCACATAGCTATAGTTCATTTTTCTCAGGTGGGCCTTCTAGGCTGGCTGGGTCGAATCTGGGAGTGGAGTTAGACCTGAGCTGCTTTGGGGATTCCCTTAGGTGGCTGTTTGCTTCCCATTTTTTTTTCCCATTTATTTATTCAATTGCTTGTGCTTATTTATTTATTTTTGCTGTGCTAGGGATGTAAGTAAGTGCTCTGCCACTGAGCTACACCCCCAGTCACCTGCTCATGCTTTAGTAGATGCTTACGTATGAAACCTTACAGTGTGCCAGGCCCTGCCTAAGGCAGACACAGAGATTGGGGTCTTGCAAAGGAAAGTTTGGTCTTTGCTGCATCACTGCCCAGTGGGGGTGTGGTAGGGAAGCATTCAGAGAGTCCGAGAGGCTTGCAGGGTGCTGGGGAGGGGGAGCACAGGCGAGAAGGCCAGTTTCATCGGCCCCTGACAGGGAGGGCCGGGGCTAGCTCTAACAACTGCCTTTACCAGGTCTCAGCCACTTGTCCCTTGGTTTTCTCACTGTATCACTCCTGCCATGCTCTAGGGAGGGTTTTCAGACGGCCTGAGTTAGCCATTACCTTATGTCCAGTAGCAGATAGGACTGAGTTGGGTTGTGTGATGTGGGCAGCCTTTTCGAGCCCTGTCGAAACCGTCAGTCTCGGGGGGTTGGAGTGGGCAGTGATGAGTGAGTGCTTTTGTGCCGTGTGCTGTGGTCTTCAGGAAAGAGCTGGATGGGGAGGCAGGGAACCTGGGGTCTGGAGCCGCCTCAGCCCTGCCAGGATTCTGAGAACAGGGAAGGAAGGGACTCAGTGCTCTGCAGAGTTGAGATTATTATCATTACTATCATTATTATTAGTTAATAATATTCATTACCTGCCTCTTATGACCTAGGCAACCACAGCTGTGTCCCCAATGCAGAGACGTCCTTCCCCGAAAACAACTTCCTTTTGCATGTCACCGCCCTGGAGGATATTAGCCCAGGAGAGGTGAGGGGGGCTAGGGCTGCAGGGGTTGGGTGGACAGTGGGCCTGGTAAGTTCTCTGCAGGGATTAGGAGCAGCAGTGACTAGAGCCTCTTAAGGTCAGGATCTCGGAGACTTCTTATATTCCTTACAGCCTGAGTGCTTGCCCATAGGCATGTTCTAATCCCACCCTACTTCAAAAAACAACTCCAGAAAGCTGCAGAGCAGTGTTTGAGGGACAACTGTGTGTGCAGGTTCCTGTCCCCAGCCTGGATCAACAGATCTACAGCTTCTAAGAAAGCGGGAGGTAGTTCTTTGCGGCTTTCTGTGGGGTTCTGGTGTAGGTTTGGGTGTCCTGGATATGAGTGCAGTGCACAGAGCAAGCAGAATCACACCAAGATAACCTCTGAGCCAAGTTACAGACCTTGGCCACTGACTGGCTTTCACCATGGCCCGCAGCCACCTATAGGCTCCCCTCTGTCCCTTGACACTGGCTGCTGAAAGCATGGGAAATGAATTGGGGTAGCCCACCTTCACTGCAGGGCAACTCAGGCCTGCCTCCCAGGAACGGGACAGTGGTTGGGGATAGGGCAGTTGTTGGGGAAGCCCTTATCCTAACTAATGGAAGGTACCAATCTAATTAGCCGAATCCAGCCTATCCTAATATGAGACCCTCCCCCCATCTCTCCTCTGTCCTACAGGAAATCTGTATCAGCTACTTAGACTGCTGTCAGCGGGAGCGCAGCCGCCACAGCCGCCATAAGATCCTCAGGTGCCAGCTGGGGACGTGGTTGGGCTGCTGGGCTCAGGGGTCCTCCATCCTGTGGCTGCCTGACTCTTCACCTCATCATCCTCCCCACCTGCAGGGAGAACTATCTGTTTGTCTGTTCCTGCCCCAAATGCCTGGCAGAGGCTGATGAACCCAATGTGACCTCAGAGGAGGAAGAAGAGGAGGAGGATGAAGGAGAGCCAGAAGACGCAGAGCTAGGGGATGAGATGACTGATGTGTGATGGTCCCCTCCCTGCAAGGGGCCCTGCCCCAGATCCTGCTGGAAAAGGGGGCCCTTACCCCCAGAGAAGAGGCTTGGAAGGAACGCCCCACTCCCATTGCCTGCTTTCCCTGCTCCAGCACTCTGCCAGAGCATAAGATGAGGGCTGCATCCGAGGCCCCGCACCCCACACAGACCTCATGCCCTGAGCACTGCTGCTGAGTTGGCTCAGGCTCTGCCATCACCGAGCCTTCCAGAACTGGCCTCCCCTGAGTTTACTCCACTGTAGGTGTGAGCGGCTGGAACCAGCGTCTGGGCCTAACCGTGTTTCTTATTCCACACTCACCTGTCCACCGGAGGCTTCTCCCCTCTCAGCTGATAATTGGCTTATCTTGAGGGGGGTAACAGAGTGTCATATCTCACACCACACCAGTCTCATTGAAGTGGAAATGGAAGGTGTGGCACTTCAGCTTCCCTACCTCACACCTGCCACAGCTATAGCTCACAGGGTGACAGCCTGCTCATGAGCCAGAGGGTAGAGGCAGGAAGACTGGTCTGAGCCTCCAGAGCACCTTCCCTAAGGCTGGCTGCCAGGGAACACTAGACCAGGGGGATTTCCCCTCTTTCCCCCCATTCCCACTGTTAGGGAAGTGGAGCTTAACCCCTTCCCTAGACTCCAGAATCTCTGTACCTTGTGCCTTGTCTCCCAGGCCCTGGCACAGCGGCTGGCCCCACGGGGTGTGGAAGAGGCCTCTGCCTTCCGGCGGGGGGGTGCCCTTTTTTACACCTTTTTCCCACTGAGGGTTCGAGCAGTCTGGCTGAGACCTGTGGGAGGGCAGGCCTGTGCTCCTTAGTTTAGGATGCTCGATTCTTCCTGGGGCCTGTTAAAATGGACCAGTGAAGGGCTCTCCTGGCCTTGGCCTTCATCTTTAGAGTTTCCCCGGGGGAACACTGAAGTCTTCAGAAACCTAAAGAAGCTGGGCTAGATACTTGGTGATTAGCCGTCACTGTCCCTTCCTTGCCCCAGATGAGCATCTCTTTCACTCCTGGGTTGGGTGCTGTGGGCATTATAAGCATCACCCCCAGTTCCTTCCTGCCTACCTTCCCTGAGGGGCGTGCCACATCATCTTTCTGAGCAATCCCAGGGAAGACAGGTGCCACCCTTCAGGCCCTTCCCTGGCCATGGAGCAAGGTGGGACCTGCCCATCTGGCTCCCTCACTTGCTGGGTTTTTGCTCCTTTACAGCAGTCAGCACCCTCTCCTGCCCCACCTGCCCACTTCCTCAATAAAACATGAGTGGCAACAGTCCTTTGTAAGATTGTTTTATGGAGAACAGCTGGACAGGGCTCCCAGCAGTCATAGAGGTTAGGTGCAAAGGGACACAAGCTAGACTACGTGATGACAGCAGATGGGAGCTACAGTCCCCAGCTATGCTCACCTCTTGTTTCAGCCACACTTTGCTGTGCAAATGTTCCTAAAGTCAGAATAAAGATCTGCTGAAGCCTGGTTTTGACCCCAGCACTAGGCTACAAGATGATCCTTCTTCCCAAGGAGCTGAACTACAGCTTTCTGGGGGCTTCCTGATCTCTTCAGCAGGGGGCTGCATTGAGATCCAACAGCCTGAGCATTGGTCCTAAAGAATCTAGGGAAAGTGATTGGACCTCAATTGTTTTTCCTCAAAATGATGGTTTGGGACCAGAAGAGTAAGTCTGGAAACCCCACACCTGTGTATCCTTATTGTAGGAGACAGAACCCTGATGAGAAGCTTTATTGCTAAAAAGTCAGGGTTTATTGAGTCCCCAGACATCAATTCTTTAAACCTCTCCAGCAACTCCCATGAAGGTCACTGTGAGGAGACCGTGGGTTGGATAGGTTGAACCAGGTGGAATGTCACAGGTCACAGGTGGCTTTCAGGTAGCCTGCCTCTAGCTCCTTTTGTTCTAGATTGCTGCCAGAAGCCCTGGAGCTTGGCTCTTGCCTCTTCCTGTAGCACAAGATGTCCTTAGGAGCCTTGGTGAGGGAGAGCCAGTGGTGTGGCTTTCTTCCCTGTGCTTGGCTCCACTTGTCCCCAGATGTGCTCCCCAGATTCCAAATAGCAGAATTCGTGGGTTTCCCCTTCCCAGCCCAGAGTCAGTTAAGGCTGGAATGTGGGACCAGATCTACCAGAAGGTCCAGGGTGGTTGTAGCAGCTCAAAGGTGGGGATGCTGGTGACATTGACTGGGATGGAAATGATGGCCCATGGCAACCCATGCTGTTCCAGAGAGCGACGGATCATGTAGCTGGTAGGGCATGAAGAGAGGTGATAATACTTTCTTGGCACCCCAAGCTGCCCCACTGTTTCCCCTTGGGAGTTCCAGAGCCTGAAAGCTTTTTGCCTTCCAACTAGGGTACCCCAAGACAGAGACTGTGGCTTGGAAGTGATTACCCATTCCCTCCCAGTTATGACATCCCACTTGGTGCTGACCAACTAGAGACAAGGAGCTCTCACCCATCTCGGCCGAGCAGGAAGAGGGCAGGAATGTCAGCCGTGCGCTGGGTACTGTCCTGGATCATTTCCACATAGAAGCTGTCGTTGTCAACTGCATTGTCAGAGATGATCACTGCCCGCCCACCATGCTCCTGTACCACTCGGGTCTTAGAGAGGAAAGAGCAGCCCCTGGAAGAGATGGCAATGAGACCAAAGGAAAAGCAGGTCCTAGCTACCCCTTCCCTGTCCCACAACCCTAAGAGGATGAAAGAACCATGAAGAACTTGCTATAAAAGCTCCTCAATACATAGCCAAAAGCGTGGATAATCTTAAGGCATTTAAAGACCTTTAAAAGGATGATTATTCAAAACAGCTATTTCAAAGCACCACCACTAGCCATGGTCTCAGAATCTTCCTTATGCCTGCCCATTCCTTACCCCCTCTCCACCAGAGCGATTTGGTCCTGAATGAAGAAACCGTTGCTGAGTTCCCCACAGGCCTCTGGAGGTTCAGCAGGGACAAGGTGAATCTGTTCATACCTCGTGTGCTGAAAAATGTTCAGACATTTGGACAGGTGAGACACATCTGCTTGGAGGCTGGGCAGATCATCTCATCTCACTGGCACTGTATCACAAAGGGTGAAGGAAATGTGGAGTGGTGTCTGTGTTGCTGGGCACTTGAGCATTTTTACTTAATTCTCACAAAGACCTATACGGCTGTCCAAGCTCATTCTGCATTTCTGTGAAATAAGTAGGGGAGCTGGTTATAGATACAGGGAAGGGAAGTAGGTACCCAGAGGTGGTGATGGCAGAGAAAGCTGTGCTCTGTTTTTGCTTTTTTTTTTTTTTTTTTTTTTTTAAGTCAGGGTCTCACTGTGTAGTCCAGGCTGGTTTTGAACTCACTGTGTAGCCCAAGCTGGCCTGGAACTTGTGGCAATCTTGTCTCAGCCTCCCAAATGCTGGGAATGCTGGTAAATTTTTTCATTATTTCATGCTCCCAAAGAAGACAGTTTGTCCCTCCATGATGCCCAGGTCTAAGTATGATCAGTGGAGTAGCTGGAAGTGTCTTCTCTGAATTCCCACTCCTGGGAGACAGCTAGACTCTGCTCCTTTCCTGGTCACAGCACCCAGAAGGGATTAGAGGGACACCATAGCTCAGTGAAGGAAAGGGGGAGGCTGAGGACCAGAGATCAGGGATGTTGCAGAACTTACAAAGATACCACCGAAGTCCTTGGCAGGTGTGGCTGTGAAGATGTATCGAATGTCCCCAGGACTCAGCACTTGAAAGTACAAATAATCATGGATGCGTAAGCCTGAAGGAAAAAGAACAGATAAAAAGCCCCCAAGAACAAGGTGGTTTGAGTTCAAATCATGAGCTCCATGCCTTCAACTTCTCTGGCTATAGTTTAGGTCGAGGGGCCCAGTTTCAGCTGATTGGGTTCTCTGGGTGGGCAGGATAGCTTTTGCCCTGGGGAGCTGATATGAATGGAATTAGTAACCCTAGAGATTTATATCTGCTGCTGCTGCTGACACAGGTGAGCCAAGAAGACAGCTTTAATCTGTCTTTGCTCTGAAGTGCACCTGGCAATTTCAGGATGCAGGTGTAGCGCCCTGGGCACAAGAAGATTCTCAACTTAGAAGCTGACTCTGGTCCACTGCCATTCCCCTATCCCAGTCACTATCATCTCTTGTCCTGATTATTCCAGCTTCTTTTTTCCTTTTTGAGACAAGGTTTTACTATGCAGTTCAGGCTGGACTTGAACTCACTTTGTAGCCCAAGCTGGCCTCGAAGTGCAGTGGTCCTCCTGCCTCAGCCTCCCAAGTGCTGGAATTACAGGTGTGCACCACCATGCCAGATTCTTAACTGGTCTATCTGCCTCCATTTCCCTCTTCTTTTGAGCCTTGCTATGTTGCCCAGGATAGTTTCCAAGTCCTGCTTTAAGCAATCCTCCTGCCTCAGCCCCCGACTGCCTCCATTCTTGCTCCCTAAGGTCCATCCTCCAAACAGCAATCAAGTATCTTAAGACATCTTAGTGATAACGTCATGACTTCCAGGGTTTCAGCATCCTTCACTGATTTCCTTTGTAAAATATACACTCTTCGCTGTGGCATACGAGGCCCTGCTTGATCTGACCCGGGCCACCTCTACAGTCTCGTCTCGTCTCCCTCTTCCTGTGTTCAAGCTACACTAACCTCTTTTCGGTTTCTTCATTTCTTTGTATCTTCTTGCAAGCAGTTACCTCTCCTTGGAAAGGGTCCCTACTCACATCCCACCTCCATTTTGTGTGTGTATGTGTGTGTGCGCGCGCGCTAAGCACCTTACCACTCAACTGGATCCCCACTCCACCTCCACTCCTTCTAAAAAAATGTTTTGAGACAGGGTTTCACTAAGTTGCCCAGGCTGGCCTTGAATTTGTAATCCTTCTTCCTCTGCCTCCCAAGCAGCTGAGATGACAGGCATGTGCCACCAAGCCCAACTCCACCTTCACTTTTTGTGGCCCACTCCTCCTCATCCTTCAGGTCATACATTAAATGTCATTTTCTCAGAGAAAGATATGTCTCATGATTGCCCACTCCTTTGCCCATTCAAAACTGTATGTTGTCCCAATTGACACTTTCAACATAATTTGTAATTATACAGTATCCATAATTCTGAATGTCTGCTCTCCAGTAGGGTAAAAGATTATAAATTTGTATAAATTCAATGCTGAATCCCCAATGCCTAGCATAGTGGCTGGGCTATAGTGGGTGCACAGTAAAGGTTACTGACTGAAACAACAACTACATAATGCTCCACTGCCATTAGCAAGAGAATTGCCAGAACCACCAGTTTTGGGGGAGTATAGGAGTTTCTTTTCAGCATCAGAGTTTAATGTTTTACCTGGACTCGAGTCCCTAGGTTCCTTATTCCTAAGAGTGATGAATGCTCAAAGAAGCAGTGGCCACAGGTCCATCAGGCAACCTATCATTATGAGCCAGCTCTCCTCGCCCAAATCACAGCCACCAGTCAGAGCTCTATAGGCTTGGCACTGGGCTATATGGCCTTTTGTCCTGGGAGTAAGGAGTCCCCACCAGATTCACATGCACCTCTCAGGAAGCCTTACCGGATTGGTGTTAAAACAGCCCTCTTCCCCACCCACACCTTTGCTTGGCCCTTGCATATCCTTGTCTGTGTGTGAACTGTAGGTATATATGTATATGCTCACATATGTGTGTAGGTGTATAAGCTTATGTCCTTGTGAAGGCGCAAGTGAACTGTGTACATGGGTGCTTCTGCGTGTGAGCCCATGTGTAGGCGTTCGTGCTGTATGTGCATGCGAGTGCTCACATATGTGTCTCCAGCTTGTATTTCCAGCTGTCTGCCTTCTGGTTGCGTCTCAGATCGCCTGGGTTGGTTTTAGTTGAAGGGACCTGCTTCGACCCGGGGAGCTGAGGACTCAGAACCTAGGGTCAGGCTGCACCCAACTCCATGTCCCTAGGGGCCAGCACCCACTCACTCTGGTCGCCCGTCGCTACACCTGCTCGGCTCCGAACTCGTGGGGTCCCCAAGGTGACCCATGGCCCCCGGCCCGGAAACGTGTGCAACCTGGATGACCAGCCCCGCCCCGCAGCGCAGCCCCGCCCGTTGCCGCTCACCGTGGGCCGCGACGCACGCGGGCAGCCAGAACACCAGAAAACACCAGCACGGGGCGCCGGGGACCATCTCCAGGGCCCGGCCCCGCGCCGCACTTCCTCCTGCTGTCCAGCAGAGCGAAGCTCGCCGGACTTTAGCCTGACAGCTGCTCCGGCCTCCCGCCCCCAGACCCGCTCTCTTCGCTGGTTGGCTGACGAGAACGAGGTCCACAGATGATTGGCTCTGACTCCTGCTCATTTTCTGCCTTTGCGCCCTAGCCTACTTTCTATTGGCCAAGAGAAGTGGGGCCAATGGCTGGTTGGCCTAAACTCAACAGCAGCTGCAGGCCCTCACCAGTCCCGCCCCCCTGTTTCTCGGTATAGATTCAACTCTTGGACCTGGTTGGCAGTGGGCGGGACCGGGAGGATGGGAAAGGGTGGGAGGCTTGTAGGAAGCTCTTCAGCTGAGTAAAGTCCTGGCCTGCAACTCTCGCTTGAGTCAACTTCGCTCAATGATCACTTTCCTTCTCCTAGGGGTTTCCCCCCCTCTGCAGCCCCTCCTGAGGGGAAGGCATTAGTCTAGCGCCCCGGTGGTCCTAGGTTCAGTTCCACCACCACTTGCGCGCTCACACTTGGCAAATTCTGACGCCACAGGCTGATGCAACTCAGCTTCGAGGAGCCGCTGACCCGCGCACAGCCATATAGCCGGTTCTGGAGCCAGTTTCCCACGCCCGCTTCGCTCCCACCTGCTGTACATCCGTGATTGTGGACACTTTCTTAACCTCTCGGCCTCATCTGTAATGTGGGCACAATAACAGTACTAACGCGCTAGGGTTGTTAAGAGTTAAATGAGATCTCTCACGTAAGATGCTTACTTAGCATAAGCCTATCCTACAGTAGGCGTTCAATAAATGTGTTTATTGCATTTCTTGGTCTGGTGTTTAAGGCGGGGGAAGGGAACGGAGCAAGGGAATCAGTCAAAGAGAAAGCTGCACACGCGTAAACCAACCTCTATAAATAGCGCCTCGTGCTAGAGCGTCTCGGAGGCCCAGCCTCTGGCCTTTCTAGCCACACCAACTCTTTGGTAGCGAACCATAGAGTGGCGGAAGTGGCTCGTTCCTTCCTCTTCTGGTCTAATAGCTTGGCGGAGCTTCTAGGGACTTCTTTGGCGCGGAGCATTGTGGGCTATCTGGGCGTCCGGAACACGGAGAACAGAGTAGCGGGCCACTGGAGAAGTTCCAAAATGATGGTGAGTGGTGTCTCGCGCATCCATCGCCATCCACTGCCATCTGGTCGATGGTTGGCGCCGCCCGGTCGGGGCCTGCTCTGTAGGACCCTCTTAAGTCAATTGCCTCTAACGTTGTCCCAACTCCCGTACCTGGGGGCTATCCCCGCCCGCCGCGGCCTCCTTCGGCCCGGGCACAGAGCAAGAGCCGTTAGCGATGGCTTTGTGAAGCATCAGGTCCTGGCCGGGCCGGTGACTACAGATCCCAGGGTGCTTGGGGACCGCGAACCCACGTCGCGGGCTCTTCTTTCGAGCTTCTCCACAGTCAGGACTTGTGTGAAATGAGTGCGGGGCGAGCGTGTGTACACTGTCGGCAGCCAGACTGCAAAGCCCGGGCTGGCTGGGGAAGTGCGGGAGGTAAAAGGTTTGTGCTTCTGGAACGCGCAGAGGCAGCATGAGGACCTTAGGCTGCGCCCAGTTCGACGTCTTAGTGTGGTTGCTTGCTGCTCTCTAGCCTGCCCGCTGCTGCATGCATGGAAGTAGACAACGCCTGTTCTTGAATTCACTCACTTGCTCAGACAGTAAATAAATGCGTGTGTAATCCGTTTTGAATGTACCGGGCCTAGGTGGTTGCTGGAGGTGCAGACACTCAGCCAGGAGAACGGGCAAGGCCGATGGGGACATGCTAGCAGAGGTGGGAAGCCCGGGGTCGGATTGGGGACTTTAGACAGGACTTCCTAGCTAGTTGGCTACCTAACTCTGGCTCTCACTTTCAGAGAATTGTGTGTGTGCAAGCGATGTCGATGTTGGAGCCTAAAGGTTTCTCTATAACCTATCACACCCAGTTTCAACTCTTCTGAGAGCTTCAGATGCCATCCCTGGGTCTCAAGCCTTGGTGCTCTCTCCTGAGTCATTACTAAACAGGGCTAGATTCTAAGGAGGTGTTTGATGGCAAAATCCTCTGCACTGGCGGTTCACTTATTTTAGGTTGGGGTAGTGGTGGTTGAGACAGCTATTTAGTTCAGGCTGGCCTTGAACTCACTACGTAACCTCAAACTCGCAGCAGTCCGCCTCCCTCACATTCCCAAATGCTAGGCTCATTTTGGCTTAATAAATTCCACTCAGTTGTGTTCTGCTGTCCTACTTACAGCTTCTTCTTGTCCCGATAGATTTTAGACTGACACTTGCTACAGTGCTCGGTTGTAACTGTCTCACCTTTGATTTGGGAAGAAGAAATTTCAGCACCATCCTAACATCAAACACTTGTATGTAAATAAAAACGCTGGCTCTGATTTAAAGAAAAAAAAAAGGACTAGAGAGCTACCAGCTACTAGTCAGCCACCAGGCCACATGATTAGACAGGAATTCAGAAGGAAACACTAGAGCTGTTCGCTCTAGGAACAGCTCTAGTGTTTCCTCCTGCTACCAACTGCCTTCTAATCCAGCTTGTACTCAAGGTAAAAAAAACTTAGAAGCATCTGTCTGTACTCCCTCTCCCTTCATACCATTCTTTCTGTGCTTTTTGAGTTTCTGTGCAACATTGCCTATTTTTGTTTGTTTGTTTGTTTTTCTTTTTTTGTTTTGAGAAACAGGTTGCCCCTAGTAGTAGACTGGCCTTGAACTCCCTATGTAGCCCAGGCCTCCAACTTGTGATCTTCCTGCCTCAGCCTTCTGAGTGCTGGGATTACAGGTGGGTGCCACCACACCATTGTAACGTTATCTATTCTTCTTAGTCTATGTGCAGAAGTAGTACAGTATAGTGTAGCTGTTAAGATAAAGGGTGAATGAATATGTGTATAACTCAGCTCTGCCATATAAAAGCTGTGTCACTTTGAGCATGTTATCTTATTTCTGGTGATACCGGATGAAGAGATCTTGATTCACAGATAATAGAAACAAGGGTCAAGTATGGCAAGCACAGAAAGCTTTATTAGAGGGAGAGGGAAAGAGGCTTCCGCCAAACCCGGGCTTTGGTTAAAGGCAATGAGCAGGTGGTTGAGAGAGTGACCAAGCTACTACTCACAAAACAAAGAAAAGCCGGGCATGGTGGTGCACACCTGTAATCCCAGCACTCAGGAGGCTGAGGCAGGAGGATCGTTGCGAGTTCGAGACCAGGCTGGGCTACAAAGTGAGTTCAAGGCCAGCCTGAACTGCATAGAGAGACCCTGTCTCAAAAAAACAACAAATACGTACATACATACATACATACATACAAAACAGAGAGTAGCAGATTTGTATTGGTTTCCTGGGGTGGACTAAAGTGAGGTAATTTCCATTGGCCAGGAGGGTGGTTCTAAAACATGGTTTGTGTGTGTGTGTGTGTGTGTGTGTGTGTGTGTGTGTGAGAGAGAGAGAGAGAGAGAGAGAGAGAGACAGAGAGAGAGATGGACATGGACCCCCTGGTGTTCACAGTCAACTCTTAGATGCTCCTAGAGGCTGTTGAGTCTTGTGTCTAGCCATCATCATCCTGCACAAAACATCCTGGCTTTGTACTTGATGAGCTAACAGGCAGTCAGCTTTGCTCAGTAGTTACTTTTAGAGGTGGTATCATTATTTTGTATAAATGTCCTGACATTATAATAGGGCTGAAAGACTGTGAATGCTTGACTTGCTGAAAAAAATGAAAGTTGGGTAGAAGAACCATATACTAGCTTCAGTGGGCAACAGACCAAATTAACGTGGTATTATAGTCTTAGATAAAACATTTTGTTCTTCGTATGTGTTACTGGGGATTAAAGCAAACCTTTGCACTGAGGTGCATCCCCAGTCCTTTTTAAAAATTTCTTCTTTAAAAAAAAAAATTAATTGGTATATTTTAGATATATGTAATGATAACATTTATCAGAGGGAATATGTACCTGTATATGATCTATATTGCTTCTTCTTTAATTTTTTTACTTTGAGACAGGGTCTCTTAAATTGTCTTGGCTGGGCTTGAAATAGCCTTGGCCTCCCAGAGATGCTGAGATTTGCAAGTGTGTGCCACTGCCCCTGTCTCAAAACATTTCTTACATGAACAGCACGTCTATGTGCCGAGCTAAGTAGAATCTGACCCAAGGGTAAGACAGCAAAGTACAGACACAATATGAAGATGCCGTGCCTTTTATCTCATCTGTCAGGTATCGGTAGGCCCAAGGGAAGAGTCAGTGTTCTTAGCAAAAGCAGCCCTTTTTTTGTTTATGTTTATGTTTTTTTGAGATAGGGTCTTGGTATGTTATTGAGACTGGCTTAGAACTCCTAGTGAACCTCCTGCCTCAGCCTCCTGAGTAGTAGGATTACAGGCGTGCCCCACCACACCTGGCTAAAAGCAGCCTTAAATTTTTGGGAAGTAACCCAGGCAGCTGATCAGGGGTAAATGTAGTCTAGCTGTGTGACCTCTACAGTTAGTGACTTTAAATTGATTTAAGAGCAGGTGGAGCCAGGCATAGGGGCAAACATCTGTAATCCCAGTACTCGGGGAGGCTGAGGCAGGAGGATTGCTGTGAGTTCAAGGCCACCGTGAACTACATAGCAAGGCCCTGTCCCAAAAAAATAAAAAACAGTGGAAGCTAGAAAGTTTAGTTTTTTTTTCTTGGCAACAGTTTCTCATTGTGTGCCAACTGTCTGTTTTTGTGGTTTTATTAGAGTCTCATAACAAGTCTGTTGAAATGTGAAGGTTAATACTTACTGCTCCAAGGAGTTTATTTTGTTGTTTCAACCTTCTGTCCTACCACTGTTCCACCACAGTGGTCCCTATTTCACTGGTCCTTCCTTAGTCTCTTGGAGGGAATAGCAATAGATGTTTTTATATGTCATTAAATGAATTAAACATGTAAAGTGCCTAGCAAGTAGTAAATTCTCAGCAGGTGTTAGCTGGGGAGTTGCTTGCCGCCTTTTTTCCCTGTAATATGTCCTGCTGCCAAGGCTACCTGAAGAGCTTTCATTGACTTTCAGAGAACTGGCAGTCAGAGCCAAAGTTCTCTGTATTGGGCCACCGCATTTGAGTTTTACCAAATTGATGATTACTGTTCTGTCAGACTGACCCATTTTCCTGATGGATGTCTCTTTTGGAAGGTGAAACTTCTGTCAGGATTCCTCTATATTGTTATGAAATTGGTCTCCGGTATCCAGCCCTCAGCTGGATTCTTTGGTCTTTAGTGTGTTCCTGCACACTCTTTTTGTATATGATTCTTTGGGTGACTCATACATAATCTTATAAAATATGTGTTTTATATTGTTCCCCTTGCAAAATCACATACAAGGTAAAAAGATCCCAAAAAACAATCTTGTGACTTTGAGATAGGATAGTGTGGGCTTAATGTATATCCCAGCCTTTGTGGTATTGAGCTGTGTGTGCCTTGGCATATAAACACTTGGCCTTGTTTTATAAAACATCAAGTTTTTACTTTTTTTTCCCAATTATTTATTTATTTTTTTGAGTCAGGATCTCAGTTTAGGCTGGCCTTAAAGTCATGGTGATCCTCTTACCTCAGCTTCCCAAGTGCTAGGATCATAGGATGAAGAGGCAGATCATTAAGTTAAAACTGCAAGGTCTTTCATAATTCCCATGGCAAACTGCTAAGGAATAAAAATGAGAGGTTGAAAGTAATTTGGGGACAGAAGGTGGGTTTGCCATAGCAGTGCTTGCTGCTACAGAAGTAATGAGAGAGAACCCATACTTCTTGGCCCAGCGTGGCTTATGCTAGCTCTGCTGGCTTTCTCTCCATATGGAATCTCTCTTTTTTTCCAGTTTCCCATCTCTCTAGGTCCTCCAAAGTGTAGGGAACTGTAGGGGACTGTGTGGTCAGCTGCACTGAAATCCTGGCTCTGTGTTTAAGAATTCTCAGGAAATTTAGGGTACATTGTACTACCAGTGTTTTTTTTTTTAAAGCCTAGAAGCTCGTGCTGTCTTATTTCATAGGTTATATCAGGCATTCCCAGGTAACAGTTGAATTTTCAGGGCCAAAAGTTACCTAATATTTCTTCATTTGTGGCCACATATACAAAGTAACATTATTTTTTTTTTTTTTTCCTCTTTTCTTCTGGTACTAGGAATCAAACTCACGACTTTGCGCTTGCCAGGCAGGCGCTTTGCTGCTGAGCTAAATCCCCAGCCCCCCAAAGTAACATTATTAATCCTCTTTACCATTGGGAAGATGGATGGCAATTTAATAAAGGTGTGAGCCGGGGAAATAGAGTTATGGGATTTCTGTTCCAAATGTCTCTGTTTACTGTTACAGAGAAAAGTTTTGGAAGAATCGGAGCTTTGGATTGCTGGCATAGTAGTAAGGAAGTGGTTTTGGTAGAACTTGTAGTATACAGCTCAGAAGTAGAAGTCAGAATACATTTATAAAAGCATTGTATTATTAGCCCATTCAAGAGGCAAAACAACTTGCTGAGAGTGTTAGGAAAGGATTTGATTGAAGTTGGTGTTTTGTTCTGTTTTTTAGTTTTTTGAGACAGGGTCTCGCCATGTAGTGAAGGCTGGCCTTGAACTCACTATGTAGCCCAGGGTGGCCTTGAACTCAAGATGATTGTGGTGGATTGACAACTGGTGGTCACCTTGTAACAACACCCAGCTGAACTGAACCAGCATGGTGCTGGGTGTGGGAGGTCCACCTGAGGATTGTTGCTGGCAGCATAAGGGGCAGAACTAGAAAGAGTTGAGAGGCTGTTGGGAGCTGGTAGAAGCTGTAAGTTGCTTTTGGTTCTCTTGGAGGAGCTTGTCATGCTGGTTTTCCTGATGAACTCGGCTATTCTCATTGAGCTCGGGACCTTATTGCTGAGAATGGCTTTGTTTCACTTTGGGGGAGCTCTGGTCCTCAGTTTGAACATCGTTTCCTGGCTCTGGAGAAGATGGTGCACTGCTTAGTCTCATAGAGAAGCTTCTCATGTTGGCTTTCCTGATGGGAACTTGGCTTTCCTCATCTTTGGAGGAGCTCAAGACCTCACTGTTGCTGACGATGGCTGTGGTACTTTTTAGGGGAGCTCTGGTTGTACTTTGAGTGTTGCTTTCTGGCTCCAGTGCAGATCCCTCTTTGCTTCCACCACTAACCTTTGGGCCTTTCCAGCACAGATCCATGAAATAGGCCTGCATGAGACATTGTCATGGGCCCTAGGCTTCTAGTTGGACTTGTGGGAGGCATCATTATGGGCTGTAGGTCTTCAGTTGGACTCATGCAGGACGTTGTCCTGGGATCCAAACCCTCAGCTGGATTCTTTGGTCTTTAGTGTGTGGACAGATTTCCTGCACACTCTTTTTGTAAATGATTCTTTGGGTGACTGTTATACATAATCTTATAAAATATGTGTCTTGTATTGTTCCCCTTGCAAAACCACATACTACAACAGCAGTCTTCCTGCCTCAGCCTTCTGAGTGCTGGGTTACAGGCGTGCACCACCACACTCAGCTTGGTTTTTAATTTTGAAGTGTAAGTTTCCATCCAGGGCACGGGTAGACAACAGGAAGTTTGAGGGTGCCCCAAGGAATGATTAACAGGATTAAGAGAAGGTGGGGCCTTTCAGGAGACAAATTTTTCCCTTACTGAAGACTCCAGGGACCAGGCTTTCTGAAAGGCCCAAAAGAATGCTATCTCCACACGTAGGACATTCCAGAAAAAGAAAGCATTTTCCTTCTAGTTCTGTACCTAATCCCAGGTACAAGGAAATTATCTGACAAGGATTCTTAAGAAAGAAAGAAAGAAAGAAAGAAAGAAAGAGAGAGAGAGAGAGAGAAAGAGAGAGAAAGAGAAAGAAAGAGAGAGAAAGAGAGAAAGGAAGGGAGGAAGGGAGGAAAGAAAGAAAGAAAGAAAGAAAGAAAGAAAGAAGATAAATCCAGTGATACGTGATTATTTGATAAGTATCCTTTAAATTTTTAAAAAATTTTTATTGGCACATGTTTTATTACAGTACATAATAATTACATTCATCATAGGGAGTGATGTACGTAACCATTCCCTTCCCCTTTTGGTACCTGTTCCTTTTGCAAAAAAAATTTTTTAAAGGGGGAAAGATTTATTTAGCTTACAGTAGAGATTTCAGTTCATGGTCAGCTGGTTCCAAGGCAGGGCAGCTTGGCAGAGAGGCAGTGCAGAAGAGAACCAGTTCATGGCAAGCAGAAGATAGCAAAAGCAAGCAAGGAAGAGACCAAAACATCTTTTGACAGGTCTTCATTTTTAAAAATTTAATGCGTAATGTATTTTTTTTCCCCCTTTTTTGAGACAGGGTCTCGCTACACAGGTCAGGCTGGCCTTGAGCTCACTTTGTAGCCCAGGCTGACCTTGAGCTCACTTTGTAGCCCAGGCTGGCCTTGAACTCACAATGATCCTCCTGCCTCAGCCTCCTGAGTACTGGGATTACAGGAATGTAGTGTGTAATGTATTAAATTACCCCCACTTGTATTCCTTAGTTTCTTGGGCATCTTTCTAATCCCTTTTTATGCATTTACATATTTTTTCTTGTCTCTTACCCATTTTCTGCAGTGGTTTTTGTTTGATTTTTAACATAAATCATAGCATGCCACTCTTCTGCTAAAAGCTTTTTTAGGGCTGCCCTTCTTTGCAGTGATAAAATCTAAGCTTCTTGCCCTGGCCAGTCTCAAGTGTATATGTGATTTACCACCTACCTGCCTCTTCAGCTTTATTCTGATCTTCCTCCTGCTCATTCCTCCTTGGATATATTGGCCAAAGAGGTTGGATTTTTAAGGAATTGCTCGGTTAATATGACACCAGGCTCATGTGTAATAGCTTTTTTCTGGAGTGTGAGTTCCTCACTCCTCTTGTTAAGCTGAGACAGCCCTGTGCTTTCTTGTGTCTTCTTTGCTTGATAACTGAAGTACCCCTAGGGATGGACAAGGTCGTGGCCTTCACACTTTTATTGCAGTCCACAGTAAGAAATAACTTGCATCACAGCCACTAGCATATATATAACTGACAGTAAATGTGTTGAAATAGTATTTCTCCCTTACTACATTCTGTTTCACACAAAATTAGACATTGGAAAGTCAGGATAGTGTTATCTCTGAAAGTTTGGGCTTGGTTACAGAGGGAGCTCTAATTTACCATCTACTGTCCATGCTGTTGGTCATGAGAAGAAAGCTATCGAAGCAGGCCCTTTGAACAAACTGTCTTCCCAGAATTTCTGAAGCAGGTCTGCAAGTGAAGTCCTTAACAGGGTTAATGACCCTTCTGGAGCCTAGTACACAGGAGAAAGAGAAACATCGCTGGGAAATCTGATTGGTAATCAGTCACATAGAATCTTTTACGGAGCCAGCATAAAAGGTGGAAATATTACCATATGAATTAGATGTGTTGTTTTGCGAGGCAAGACACGATGCTGTTTCTCCACCTGCTTTCCTACACTCCAGGTGAAGATAACTGCTGAGGCTGCCTGCTTGGCATCTTCAGAACTGCACCTCATGCTGTTAGCATCTTGTATACCCCCTCTGCTTCTCTGAGACTGAATTGTAACATAGATAAGCAGACTTTTTGCTGGGGGTGAACCTTGAGCAGGGCCTGGTGCTTCTTGCTGGGCTGTGACGTGAACCTCAGCAGAGAGAGAAAGGTCAGAAGTTGGAAAGGCCATGTTCATTAAACTGGGCACTGGTGAATCCAAGATTTGTGTTTCTATACTAGATTGATGTTTCGCAAACCGTTTTCCTGTCCGGTATAGATTCCGGTATAGAATCTGTCCTGCAGGATAGATTGTGGTCTGCTCTCTGGGATAGGGGCAGTTGGCGAATGGCTGTGCTGGACAGTGGGGACTGTGGTTTAGGAAGTTCCCCAGGTAATTCTGTCATGTGCAATTGGAAGCAATTTTCCTCCCCTTTCTCCCTTTGAGTCCCACTGTAATCACTTTTTTAAAGTTTTATTAGTATATGTTGTAGTAGATGGTTATTAAAAGCAGTCAATTCCACTTTCTTTTCTAGCCCACTCCAGTTATACTGTTGAAAGAGGGGACTGACAGCTCCCAAGGCATCCCTCAGCTTGTGAGTAACATCAGTGCCTGCCAGGTGATTGCTGAGGCTGTAAGAACCACCCTAGGTCCCCGTGGCATGGACAAGCTTATTGTAGATGGCCGAGGTAAGTATAGGTTTCCTTAGGCATGTATGCAGGAGACAAGTATCTGGGGAGTGTTTGGAACTAGCAGGTAGGCTCAGAAGCGTACTGTTTGTAAGGTCTCTAAGGGATTACTCAACCTAAGCAGTTCTACTGTGTACATTGTCCTGATTGTTGAGGGTAGTACCTCTTCACTGCTGGGACAAAAATACCTGACAACTAACAGGAGAAGGGTTTTTTTTTCCACTCATTTTCAGAGGTTTCAGTCTCTGCATGGTAAGGTGGCTCCAAGGCAGAAATGTGATGGAGGAAAGCTGCTATACTCATGGATCTCAGGAAACAGAGTTTGGGAAGAGCCAGACTGGAGGGGACCAGAGAACCAACCAATAGAGTCCTGAGGTCACACCCTCACGATCCACCCAGAAGTGTGTTTTACCAGTCTAGGTGTCTGTGAAGGTAATCAGGCTGGCAAGATTAACCTTCACACTGAGCCCTTTGAGGAATACATGGGAGAACCTGGGCTCAGGAGCCTGGTTCCTAGTAGGAAAATGTGGTTTAGAAACATGAACTAGAACCAGCTGGAGTTCTCTGTGGTCACATCCATTACATCGTGTTGCCAAGACAAGGAGAAAACTGCCCTTTATGTTTTAGTCCATTCATTAATATGTGGTTTTGTACCACCTTGTGCCCACCTAGTGAGTTCCCATGTTTTCCACCTTGGACCTGCTTCACCTTGTGGTTTTGCTCTATAAAAATCCCTAAAAGAGACAGAGCCCTGGGCAACCCACTGGGGTCCCCCTTTTGTCCCTCACTCGGACAGAGGCTTTCTTCCCCTCAGTAAATATAGTCTGCTCTTAAAAAAGAAATTGTGAGTTAAGAATATCTAAGTAGTTATGTCCTTTAAAACATTTCTCTGCATCTGGTTTAGTTGTACTAATTGTTCAAAGAAAATAAGGAGCCCGTGGTCTTTATTTACTTGTGATTTTAGCTCATTGTACATAGAGCTAACGATAAAGTCAGATTGATCTTCTTCCTTTACATTCCTACTGTGATCCCTTCTGCCTCATCTCCATGGAAAGTGGACTCCAAGTCTAGATAGAAAAAAGAACTTTAAAAAAGGGACTTCAAGTTTTTCTTTTTCTTTTAAGGCAAAGCAACAATTTCTAATGATGGGGCCACGATTTTGAAACTTCTTGATGTCGTCCATCCTGCAGCAAAGACTTTAGTGGATATTGCTAAATCCCAAGATGCTGAGGTAGGAAAATCAGTCATATATATTTAAGTGGAGGTTGAAACACATCCCTGCTTGTTACTTTATTCTTCAATTTTTTTTATGTCTAAAATTATTGTGTAGGGGCTGGGGATTTAGCTCAGTGGCAAAGCACCTGCCTGGCAAGCACAAGGTCGTGAGTTCGATTCCTGGTACCGGAAGAAAAGACAAAAGAATAAAATAAAATAAAATAAAATTATTGTGTAAGTAGCGCATGCTTGTAAAAATAGGCTCAGAAGTGTACTGTTTGTAAGGTCTCTAAGGGATTACTCAGTCTGAGCAGTTCTGCTGTGTACATTGTCATGATTGCTGAGGGTAGTAGCTCTTCATTGCTGGGACAAAAATACCTGACATGCACAACTTACAAGAGTAAAGTAATCTTTAAAAATGTATAGTATTCCATTGCATGTAGTTTTTCATATTTTTTTTTGGTCTTTTTGAGACCAGGTCTTGCTATGTAGTTCCAGCTGGCCTTGAGCTCACTTTGTAGCCCAGGATGGTCTTGAATTCATAACGATCCTCCTGCCTCACCCTCCCAAGTGCTGGGATAACAGGTGTGCGCCACCACACCCGACTCATTCTATTAACACATTTTAAATGGCAATGGTCTTTGGGTCAAAATCCTAAAGACCAAGTCGAAGCACTTGGGACTAGGGTGGTGTTTTTCCTATGAGCTGCTAAGTAAATAATTTAATATCTTAATCCATTAATCACCTTGTAAAATGAGGCTGGGAAAAAATAGCCCACCTGTTTGTGTGTGTGTGAGATGATAGTAAAATATACATAACATGAAACTTAATCTTTTCAAGTATGCAGGTCAGTGGCATTAGCCAACCTATCTTTTTAAAAATTTCTGGCACTGGAGTTTTAATAATATAGTCAGTGTCAAGACAGACAGAATTGTATTTGTAGTACTGTAAAATATTTCTATTACCAGTAATGTTCTGAAGTTATATTAAAAGGTTTATTAAGCTGGATATGGTGGTATGTACTTGTAATTCCAGCACTTTTGAGGCTGAGGCAGGAGGATCTCGGAGTTTGAGGCCAGCCTGAACTGCATTGTAAGATCCTGTCTCAAAAAACCACAAATTTAACAAAACAAAAGCAACAGTTTATCAGGACATAGTAGTTTATAAAACAGTACAGCTTACATAAAATTAAACTGCAGGTCTGGACTTGATGTGTTACTGTATTCTACAGGGGAATAATATCTTCCTGTCCAGAAATCTGTCAGCTTCAACGCTATGGTAGCCCCTTTTTCTCCAATGCAAATTCTTTACCTTATACAATGAACATAAGTAAGTTAAAAATAAATTCCTTCCTTTCCAAAAAGCTCTTGTTCTTATCCTCCCTCATTTAAAATAGGGTTTAGGTACCATCATAGAAAAGCACCATCTAAGAAAGATTAGAATTCTAGTAATCTACTTATTCCAAATACTTTTTGAAATATAAGAACATTGGTTGGTTTTAGGAGTAGGATTTGGTTGAAAAATAGCCTTTTGTAAACTCCTGAAGTACTTCATGTTCCTTAAAGAGTGTTTATCTTTTGCTTCTTGATATTGTGGTTATTTTGTCGTGTAAGTATTATGTTACAAGAATGACAAGGACTGTCTTACTACATGGCCTTGCACATAATAATAAAAGTCCTCAGTTAATACACATGTGTGTGATTTTATATCTTGAAAAAATTGGCCGGGCATGATGGCACACACCTGTAATCCCAGCATTCGGGAGGCTGAAGCAGGAGGATTGTTGTGAATTTGAGACCAGCCTGGGTTACAAAGTAAGCTCAAGGCTAGCCTGAACTGCATAGCAAGACCCTGTCTCAAAAGGACCAAAAAAAAAAGAGAAAATTTGTTTGTCTAAATCAGCCCTTTTTGGAGAACAGCGTTGTTTAGGGAATTAATTTTGTAGCTCAGGACTATTTGATAAGATGAATACATCAGTACTGGATTCATAAGTACTGTCAATTTCTGTTTGTTGCAAAAAACCTGTGTTTCCAGGAAAAGCTTGATACCCATTGAAAGAATGCCAAGTGTACATAGGTGGAAGTTCTGCCTTCCAGAACTGCCTAAAAATAGAGTTCTAGGGTTTTGTTTCCTGAACATTAGAAAACACATTTTCTGTCATCCTCTTCCAGGTTGGTGATGGCACCACCTCAGTAACGCTGCTGGCTGCAGAGTTTCTGAAGCAGGTGAAACCATACGTGGAGGAAGGTTTGCACCCCCAGATCATCATCCGAGCTTTCCGCACAGCGACACAGTTGGTATGAGAATACTGATTCACTTGGGCTTGTGCCTGGGCACCTTCAGGTTTCTCTTAGTGAGGAGAATGTCTTTATTGTGGTCTAGAGGGACTGTGGGACAGGCTTATTTGTTCATTTTCTGACTTCTCTCTAGGAATCTCATTTCTACTATTTAGTAATTATTTAGTGAGGTAGATAAAGCCTCAGGTTAGAGTCAGCCTGGTAGATTATGATGTATATAAAGCATTTTAATAAGTTAGAGCTATTTATTTGTGGGGGTTGGGGGCAAAGGTTTGGAGGGCTATATGGTGCTAGGGGTGGAACCCTGTGCCTCATACATACTAGATACACATTCTACCATGAGTTATGTCCCTGCTTGTCTTTTGTCTTTATTAAGTACTTCACAGCCTCTCTTGGGACCTAGTTATTATTCACCCTCTTACCTTCATTTCGTTACCTGGGACGAGTCATCTAATTTCTCTTTGCCTTTTCCCCTTTACTATCTGTTTTGGGTGGTAACATGAACTTGGAACCATATATGCAGAGTACTTTGGAAAAGATAAAACAAATTTAAAATATACTAGTATATATACTTTGTTTATAAGTAAAATAAAAAGTTCTAGAAGTTGTAATAGAGGTTTTTGGTATGCCAGAGGTTTGAGCTAATCTAGTGCTGATTGATTTTTTAGCCAGTGTGCTAGCACACTGATGATACTTAAGCAGTATATGCCTACTGTACATATCTAACTTGGAGAGGTTTTTTTTTGTTGTTGTTTTTTTTTAACATCTTCCTAGGCAGCTGCAGGACCTAGAAATGCTATTTTACCCATAGATTAGAAGTGCTTAAAATTTGGCAGGAAGCAGGGGCTGAGATCTACTTCACCATTGTGTCTTTAGCATGGGAGACTCACTCAAGTTCTGTTCTTGGCAGGCAATTAACAAGATCAAAGAGATTGCTGTGACTGTGAAGAAGCAAGATAAATTGTAAGTTTGTAGTGAACTTTATCAGAACCTTGACTTCTCGTGGCCAGATTGGATGCAGACAACATGTCGCAGACCGTGTATGGGTCTTCATGTGTTTGGCTTTTATTAGACCCTGTAACCCAGCCCATAGAGTACAAGAGAGGCTGTTGAAAAGCTGTTACATGTGATGTTTTTGACTGCAGTCGCCATCTGTCACTGATTATCTGTGCTAAAGATACAGAAGGTGATGTTGGAGGGGGCTTCTAGTGACTGGAAGGGAACAATCTCTGTGGCAGTAGGATGAGGTAAGAGGAGTTTGGTTTTCAAGACATGATGCAGGTTCTGTCCTTATGTCCCAGGGAGCAGAGGACGCTGCTGGAGAAGTGTGCCATGACAGCGCTGAGCTCCAAGCTGATCTCCCAGCAGAAAGCCTTTTTTGCTAAGATGGTTGTTGATGCCGTGATGATGCTTGATGATTTGCTGCAGCTTAAAATGATTGGAATCAAGAAGGTACAGGGTGGAGCCCTAGAGGTATGTCAGTTGTGTTCTCCATGGAAAGCTTCTGCTTTCACATTGGCCCTTCAGATAGCTTGATATGGGAGGAAGGCACATAGTACAGGTGGAGAGAAAATTCACATTGCAGAGAAGGTCAGACTTGAGAGCTATGCTTCCCCGTACTGCCACTACAGGGTGTGACTGTAGATTAGTTTTGTAACCCCTGTATTTAGTAGAATAAAAAATTAGAATGGCTGGTTGATTCTTCAGAATTTTTTTTCTCCATGTCAGTGTTTGTTGTGGTAAAGCTAGTTCAGAAAAATTACAACCCTGCCAATTAATAAATCTGAGTGGTATTTCGCGGTCTGTTCTTTAGTCCCAGTAAATGGTCAGGCTCTCCTTTCTATTCATTTATCTTGGAAAGATGATACATAGTTGAAACTGTGTAAAAGCCCCCCCTGAAAGTGTCCCGTATACTACACCTGTCCCATATGTAGGCACTGTTATAAGTTTGAGGGTATATATCCTTCCAGAACTGCTAGATTCATGTACAAGCACATAGGTACTGATTTTTTAAAACATAAATAATTGTTTGTAGTACTTAGTATTCTGTAACAAGCTTTAGTCCATTTAACATCATGTTTTAGCAGTTAAGCCGTATCAGCATGTGTAGCTCTTAGTTCAGCACTGTCCAGCATGCTAGCAGAGAACTTTCTGAGTTGTCCAGTATCGTAGCTCTATTTACTCATAACACCTGAGCACCTGAAATGTATTTAATGCAACTCAGGCGCTGTGTTTACTTATATTTTTATTTTACTTTTAAATTATTTTTTGGTTTTAGGGATTGAACCCAGGGTCTTATGTGTGCTGGGTAAATAAGTGCTCTACCTGTTTTGAGAAATCCCTTCCCTTTTTTAAAATACAAATTTGAGAGAGGGTTTTGCTAAGTTGCCTAGGCTGGCCTCATTTTTGATCCTCCTGCCTTCACCTCCCAAGTAGCTAAGGTTATAAGCATGTGCCACATACCTGGATTAAAACTAATAATCTTACCTGGTAAGAAAGCTAGGGACTCTAAGTCACCTTTGTATTTTTCCCGATTGTCCCACATTCATTAGATTCATGTAAAACTCAACATAAAAGCTGACCCAGAATTGAATAAACGGTGGTAGTGATTATTTCTTATTCTGTTTTACCTACTAACTTAATACATTTTTCTTTCTTTCTTCCCTCCTCTCCCTTCCTTTCTCCCCCTTTTTCTCCCTTTCTTTCTCTTTCTCTTTTTTTTTTCCTTTTGTGGATATGAGTCTGTGGAAGGGGTGGTACTGGAGATTAAACCCAGGGAGCATTGAAATACACCCCCAGTCCTTTTTAAATTTTTGAGATAGGGTTTTGATAAGTTGCCCAGACTAGCCTCAAACTTCGGATCCTTTTGTTTCAGCCTCCCGAAAAGCCGAGATTACACGCATGTGCTACATGCCCAGCTCTAATTATTTCTTTAGAATGTCTCTTTTACTCATTCCCAGGACTACTGTCACTCTTTCTTCAGTGTTGCTTAAAGAATAAGTACATTATTGTGTTACAGGGTGGAGTTTTCCATTTTACTCCTTTATGAAGCCTTCTGGGGTTCCATACTGTCTACATGATAAAAGCTGGGCTTTAGCCTTAGCTTAGCCTATAAAGTCGTACAACCATCTCTTCCTCTCTTTTTGGTGCTTACTGGCTGGCTCTGCTGTCTATTTTATATTCTAGCAACTTCAACAGACTTCATTTCCTATTCCATGCAACACTGGCCCCTCACCTCATGGGAACACCTCTTTTTCTGTTCGATTAATTTCTGCTCATCCGTCATGGTTCTGCTTGGGTATTACCCTTTTTGGGGCACTGGATTCGAATGACTCAGGAACTGGGGGTAGACACTGTTCACTGAGAAGCTGTAGTATTGTAGATGAGCACTGGCAGCAACCTAAAGGTCAGCAAACTGATTACTCCTTTCATGGAGTGGGAGTGACAAGAAAGAGAGCTGCAATTTGAACCTGTCTTGTGATAGGCTAAAGTCAGTTCCGAGGTCAGCCTTGCTGTTTACACCTGCTGTTTCATCCAGCTTACAGGAAGCACTATTATAGAATAAGCTATAGAAGCTCATGTCTGTAGTGATTAATACGTGAAAGCCATGATGACAGCTATAAAGGATTTTAGATTTATTTTCATTACTGGGGATTAAACCTAAGACCTTCATACTGAGTTATATCCCCAGATCTTTTTGATTTTTTATTTTGAGACAGGGTCTCACTAAGTTGCTCAGTTGCCCAGGTAGGCTTGAACTTGCAATTCAGTTCTTCTGCATCTGTCTTGCAGACTTCTGGGATTACAGGATGTGCTATCACCCAGCTGGAATTTCTGATTTGGGGTTTTTTTTTTTTTTTGTACATTTGCGGTGCTTTTTTAAAAAACAGTAGCACCGTTTTATTAAAGGTAGGAAAAGAAATAGGCTCTGCAGAGTGAGCTTGGGCCAAGTAAAAGTAGGAAAAGAAGCGCACCCTATAGCGTGAGTGGGCCACCGTGCCAAGAGGGAACATGGTGGCCGTGTTAGCAGTACTTAATGATTACGTGATTACATTCATCATGGAGAGTTCGTACACTTATATGACGCATCTGAATTCTTTTCACGTTCCCCCCCCAACACACACACTTTTCTCTCACGTCTTACCCATCTCTTGGTCTCTTTCCCATTTGCAAAACAGTTTATTCCCTGTTTCCTATTATCTGTATTTTATGTTGCTCTTTACTTATACTTTAGGTTTCCCACAAAAGAGAAACCATGTGATATTTAAGCTTACATGTCGGATTTATTTTACTTAGTCCTATGGTCTTCAGGTGCATTTATTTTCCTAGGGATGACTCATCCTTTATAGCAGAGTAGTACTCCATTGTGTGTATATACCACCTTTTCTTTTTCCATTTATCTGTGGGATATATAGGCTGCTTCCATGATTTAGCTATTTTGAATTGTGCTGCCATAAACATGGGTACGCATGTATCACTGTCATGTAATGTCTTTTAACTCTTGGGGAGATACCCAGAAGGGGGAGTAGGTGGGTTGAATGGAATTTTTGAGGAGTTTTAATACTGATTCCCATAGTGGGTGCACAAGTTTACATTCCCACCAACAATGTGGAACGATTCCTTCCCTTCCCTTCCCACAGCCTCACCAGCATTTATTACCTGATTTCTTGATGATGGCCATTCTTTCTGGAGTAAGATGGAATCTCAGTATTGTTTTAATTTATATTTTGCTAATGGCCAGATACATTGAACATTTTTTGATGTATTTATTGACCACTTGTTCTGAAAAGTCTCTGTTCCTTTTGGTTGTCCAGTTTTTGATTGGGTCTTTTCTTGTGGGGGGAGGAGATAATTTTTTTTTTTTAGTCCTTTATTAGAGATATTAACCCTATATCTGAGGGGTACCTGGAAAGAACGATTTCCAATCTCTAGGTTGTCTCTTCACTCTTGGTTGTTCCCTTGCTGTGCAGAAACTTCTTAACATAATTACATTTGTTGATTCTTCTTGTGCAGTTGAGATCCTGTTCACAAAGTCTTTGCCTGTGTCTTCAAGAGTTTTACCTATTTTATGTTTCAACAGAGGATTTCTGATCCTTATGGTCCTTTGCCTTTGTCTTCTGGAAACATGAAGTCTCTGGGCTATAGCACTTAAGCTGTGTGTTGTGTGTGTGTACATGCGTGTGTGCAAGGAGACTTGAGAGTAAAAGAAAGAAAATATTGCATGGTTTCTGCCTTAACCATAAGTGCCTGACTTTGCCTGTCAGTAAATGTGAATATACTATTATTCATTGCAGGTGCTTCAGAGGATAGTCCGAACAGGGATTTACCATTTGAAATATTTTCCTCAGACTAAGAGGCAACTAAACTGGGCATAATGGTGCATGCCTGTAATACCACCACTTGGGAGGCTGAGGCAGGAGGATTGCCTGAGTTTGAGGCCAACCTGAACTGCATAGCCAGACCCTGTCTTTCTTTTTTTTTTGAGACAGGGTTTCACTTGTAGTTCAGACTGGCCTTGAACTCACTATGTCTATCCTAGGCTGACTGCAAACTCATAGTGATCCTCCTGTCTCAGCCTCCCAAGTGCTGGAATTGCAGGCATGTGCCACCATACATGGCAAGACCCTTTTTTTTTTAAATAGTCAACTAGAATATTTTGTTACTCTTTGAAAAATTAATTTAATCCTAGCTGCTATAGTGGTGGCACACACCTAGAATCCCAGCACCAGTTTTTATTGATACATGTTTGCAGTACTTAATGATTACATTCATCATGGGGAATTGGTATGTCTGCATAATACATCTTAATTCATTTTACATCCCTTTCCCCCCTACCTGTGGCAGAAGGATCATAAGTGTGAGTCTCGCCTGGGCACTTTCGTGAGACTGTGTGTCAAAAAAAAAAAAAGAAAAACGGCTAGAGATGCAGCTCAGTGTGGAGGCCCTGGGTTCAATCCCCAATATTGTGGGAAAAAATTGATTTGTCCCTAATTTTGTCATAAATCCATAAAAAATTTTTAACTCTTGCAGGTTCACAGGAATGTATAAGCACTAGCTTTTGGAGGTTAGGGAGGGGCAGCTCTGGAGGCCAAACCCAGGACCTCCTTGTGCATGCTTGGTGAGCACTCCTAGCAGCACTGGCTTGATCTTATTTCATGGTGGTCGCAAACCAACGAACTGTCTGTCTGTGTCTTTATCCAGGAGTCTCGGCTGGTTGCAGGTGTTGCATTCAAGAAGACTTTCTCTTATGCTGGGTTTGAAATGCAGCCTAAAAAGTACAATAACCCCATGATCGCCTTATTAAATGTTGAACTTGAGCTGAAAGCTGAGAAAGACAATGCTGAGATCAGAGTCCACACAGTGGAGGTAGGCCTTCTCGCTGGTGGTGGCATGGAAATGGACAGATTTCTGGGCCAGAGTCTCCAGTCTCCTTGGCTGTCTCAGGCCTAGCTCCGCTTTTCAGGCTTCTTGTAGGTCCCCTGTCCTCCTGCCCCAACCTGAGTTTTGTTGGCTAAATACTGGGCCCACTATTATACCGTGCTTCCTCTTACCTCAACTTGAGGCAGTTTGGATATGGAAGACTTGTTGAGATACTTAACTATTCTCCAAACCTCAGAACAGAGTTAGCAAGACCTGTCTAGCTACACAACCTGCCTAGAATTTTGGTTCCTCTTCTTGGACAGGTGTGGGCTCCTCCCCTTCTTGCGTGGGTCTTCTGCATTTCTGTTCTACTGTCATGACTGTTATCAAGGCTGCCCCTAGAGCTAACAGTGGCACCCCGTGCAGAATGACCTTCGGGGAGTGGGCTTGTTATTGGGAGGTCCATGGGTGCAGTACCTCAGAAGAGGCTAGGGTTCACCAGGCTAAAACGTTTTTCATACCTGGCATTGCCAGTTCTGGTGTAGCTCCCTGGCCCAGGGTTACTCTCTGCTTTTGGGCTTGAAAGTATGGGGTGGTATCTGTTCACCTGAAAGCATCCCTGATCATTTGGGCTGAGGAGTGGCTATTTTGTTCACCCCCATTAATTCCTACATAAATCAGTACGTTTTATTAGGGGGAGGATCATGTTGTAGCCAATCTCCATCACAAAACATCCTCATCTTTTTCTGTGTTTCTTCAGGATTATCAGGCAATCGTTGATGCTGAGTGGAACATTCTTTATGACAAGTTAGAGAAGATTTATAATTCTGGAGCCAAAGTTATTTTGTCCAAACTCCCTATTGGAGATGTGGCCACCCAGTACTTCGCTGACAGGGACATGTTCTGTGCCGGCCGTGTGCCTGAGGAGGATTTGAAGAGGACAATGATGGTAATGAAACTTTAACAGGCTGCTTTTTTTTTTTTTCTTTTTTTTTTGTCTTTTCGAGACAGGGTCTCGCTATGCAGTTCAGGCTGGCCTTGTGCTCACTTTGCAGGCCAGGCTGGTCCCAAACTCAAAAGGATCCTCCTGCCTCAGCCTCCTGAGTGCTGAACAGGTTGCTTCTTAACTTTCGTAGCACTGAAGGGTTTTCTTCTATATGTGACGTAAGCATGTCTGTTAAGTTTTTTTTTTTTTTTTTTTTTTTTTTTTGCCAGGAAGTGCTGTGTTCCTGGTGTACCTAGTAATACAACTACTTTAAAGTTTGTCTAACTGGCTTATGAGAGAATCTAGCAGTAATGCCCTAATCATCCAGACAGCCTCAGGAGTATTACTTCTAGCCAGATGTTTTCCCTTTCTTGAATGTTTCATAGACGTTACTTTTAGAACTAAAGTTCTACTCCTAAAGTTTAGTTGTTAGGCCCAGAGCACCTTAGTCTTAGGAAAGGAGTGTGGACTAAAGTGAAAGGGTCTCTATTTCCTTTCAGCTTAGCCTACTTGCCCTTTATTTATTTTAGTTCTGTCCCGTTTTCTGCGGTTTCATCAGGGGGTGGCCTCAGGGTCAGGGGAAAGGACAGGTTGTCCAGTGCACGGGGCTCTGGGGACCATGGCACAGTCCAGCATGTGAACTGGCTTGGATACTGGGTGACAGGAAGTCAACTGGCCTTTTTGTGAACCTTAACTACTAGATGACCTTGCCTTTCTTCTCCTCAGGCCTGTGGAGGCTCAATCCAGACCAGTGTGAATGCTCTCTCAGCAGATGTGCTGGGCCGCTGCCAGCTGTTTGAAGAGACCCAGATTGGAGGTGAAAGGTAAGTGCATCTGGGCTGCCTGTAGACTGAACTCACAACATCAACCAGATGGCCTTCTCCTATTTCCTGAGTATGGTGTGGAGCTTGTACTGTTCTTTGTTGAGGTGTTGCCTTTTGGGCAAAGAGCTCAGGTACATAGAGTGTTACAGGAGGGCAGAAGGTCTTGGGTCTTAAGTCTGACTCTATAATCTTTTTTTTTTTTTTTTGGTTTGTTTTTGTTGTTTGTTTTTCTCCGGTACCGGGAACTGAACTCACGACCTTGCGCTTGCCAGGCAGGCGCTTTTGCCGCTGAGCTAAATCCCCAGCCCCTGACTCTATAATCTTGATGCCCCAGTAGCACAGCCCTAGAGTTTTCTGTCTTGAAGAAAATGCCTTTGAGGTTGGGGTTGGGCAGTCTGGATGAAGAATAGAACAGCTGCTGAGTGTTTTGGAGGGTTTGGCAACGAGAACAGACATAGATGGCAGCAGACAGGAGTTCACACATGTATGATTTCATCCTGGGTGTAGGTACAATTTCTTCACTGGCTGCCCCAAGGCCAAGACTTGCACCTTCATCCTCCGCGGTGGTGCTGAACAGTTTATGGAGGAGACAGAGCGGTCTCTACATGACGCCATCATGATCGTCAGGAGGGCCATCAAGGTACTAGGCTGACGGCCTCCTGCCTGCATAGCCCACTCTACCTTCCTAGCTGATTAGACCCTGAGCTTTGTGTGCTGATCCCCTCCTTGTGTAGTTTGTCCCTTTTTGGGTGGCTTGGAGGGCCCTGATTTGTCCCAAAAATCATAGAGGAACTGGTCTTCAGTCTCAAGAGTCATGCTGTCTTACAGGCTGAGACTTGTTCTTGCCAGCAAACTATGGAATTGACTGTCCTGGTGATTATGCCAGTGTGTTCAAGTTACGTGTGACCTTGATGGTGACTTTATGGTTCACTAGGTTGAAGCTGGGAAGTGCTAGAAGGGCCATGTCGGGTCTTTCGGGGCCTGGGATGCAGGGAGGAATGAGGCGCTCTTTCCTGGGCCAGAGGATCTAGAGTGGCCCAGCTTGGAGTTTGTACCAGTGCCTCTTGCATTGAAAGGTGGTTTGGTTTCTGTAGAATGATTCAGTGGTGGCTGGTGGTGGAGCTATCGAGATGGAGCTGTCTAAGTACCTGCGGGATTATTCAAGGACTATCCCAGGAAAACAGCAGCTACTGATTGGGGCGTATGCCAAGGCCTTGGAGATTATTCCACGCCAGCTATGTGACAATGCTGGCTTTGATGCCACAAACATCCTGAACAAACTGCGGGCCCGGCACGCCCAGGTAAGTGCTTCCTCTTGTCACAGTCCAAGAATTGGGTAGATGGGGCTAGACTGTCAGGGTTTTCTGTACTTAGGAGACAAGGTGTGCACACTTAACCCAAGTGATGGGCTAAAAGAAAACCCAGAACAACTGGGTAACTGCCTTCTGTGTGGTAAGAGGAAAGCCATGGTGCCAGCATTGGAAGTAGCAGCTCTTGGGAGAGGCCCAGAGCTCTTGTGTGATCAGCATGTCCAGGATTTGAAGGGAGTAACTGGCAGGAGTCAGTTGGGAAGAGATTCCTGCGTAATCTACATGAAGAATTTGTCTTCCTTAGGGAATGGAGTCATGTTTGGGGAGTCTTAAGGATTCCTGACAATCCCAGGTGTTTAGAGAGAATGTAAGAAACTTGGGAGCAGTTTCCTACTGCCCCTCCCCCTCTTTTCCTGCTCTTTCAGGGAGGCATGTGGTATGGGGTAGACATCAACAATGAGGACATTGCTGACAACTTCGAAGCCTTCGTGTGGGAGCCAGCTGTGGTGCGGATCAATGCCCTCACAGCAGCCTCCGAGGCTGCATGCCTCATCGTGTCCGTTGATGAGACCATCAAGAACCCCCGCTCCACCGTGGATGCTCCTCCAGCAGTGGGCCGGGGCCGAGGCCGCCTGCCTTGAGACATCCTGCCCGTCACGCTGGCAGCTGGCTGCAAGTGTGCTTGCCATCGCTGGCTTGGTTCATTGGTATTTTGAAGAAGTGGTAGTAATTGGTCTGCTCTGTTCTCACTGGAGGTTATTTAAATAAAACTGAAGACTTAGACTTAACTTTGTAAATTATTTGGGCACCATAGTTCCATTCACTGCATATGCACTCACCCAAGAGGTAGAAAAAATTCTCTGCTGACCTGGGGTGATGTCTAGTGACCTCTGTTTGGAGGTTTCACAGTGGTTGCATTCTTTATCCTAGAAGTGGCTAGGATATATGGAGTTGCTTCCTTTTCTTCTGGCATCTTACTTAGCTCTGCCTCCCAGCGTTTCTCTGGTGTGAGATGTGTTCCATTACCTTGTCTGCTTCTTCCGTGTTCGTATTTGCTTGATTGTGTTTTTTCCCTCAGACCTCAGATCTTGAAGCTGAGGACGCTGAGGGGCATGTTTTGGGGAGATCACATCCTCTCAGTTTGAGCGACCTCTCAAGTACATTGAGAAGGGAGCTGACAGAGGGTCTGCTCAGTCTTTTCAGTTCAGTCCCCAGTGCCCTTGTGGGTACATTCTGCTTTCATGTGACCAGTCAATTTGGAATGACTGGCACAGATCAGCTGGTGGTAATCCAGTGAAATCTTAACAGCCAGCCACCTCAGTGAAACGGGTCCTGATAGCTGGTCTTACAGCTAGAGCTGTTCTTAGTAATTATTGAAGCTGGAGGCAAATGATGTTACCTTGAGTCACTGAATATCTGTTCTGTTTGCTATTTTTGAATATTTTAGGACCCTAGCCATCAAATTAATTGTACAAGCCCATTTTATTAAAATGGGTAAATCCAGGCCAAGCCATGGTAGTGGTCTTCCCAAGGCCAAGCCCATTTGGCTGTCCAGTGCCTTCAGAGGTAGCCTGACCAGCCAGGGAGGTTGTGGGTAGGAAACTCCTCCTGCTGGTGTGCTAGGTTTGTCCTTGAACGTGGCTTCTCCCCAGTGAGAGAAATGACTTGTTCTGAGGCTGTTTAGATGCAGACACTGAAAGCAGGTGGGGCTGTGGCTTGGCAGTACTCCGGGTAGCCTTCCTCCAGCGCTCCTCGTAGGCCTGAGGCAGGTCTTTCCAATTCTTCACCCTGTGGGATTATCAGCCTTCTTCCTGCCTCAGTGCACTTTAGTTGCAGAAAAGCTGTGGTTACAGAATGACACATCCAGCCACATATATTTTCCTGGGGCAGATGTACCAGTTTCACCATCTTTTATTAGATACAGAGCCATAAATTCTCTGATGCCCATGAGTCCTTTTTAAATACATACACAGTCAGGTACATTCGGCAAAGGGCATCCATGGGTAATGTAGAGCAAAGTGCTGGGATGGCAATGCCTGGGTGGGGCAGAGAAGTGGGGCCAGGGAAGGCCCCCTGGGGGCTGGAGGTACAGGCACCACTTTAGAAATAAAAGTAAAATCAAAAGCTGCTCTCCACCCCTCTGCCTATGTGCTTGGGGTGGGGGAAGTGCCCACTCATGGTCAGGCCCAGTACAGCCTGGCTGTGCGGAAGGTAGGGCCTAAGGGCCAGTTGTGGAGGTCCACACCAGCAGTGCCCTTTACAGCCAAGCCTACTGGCGATAGCCATGAGGCAGGCCTGATGACCTCAGACCTCTGCTCTGTATACAAGATCCCTGCTGGGGAGGCAGAGGAGGTTTGACTTCATGATGGGGCACCTGCCTGATTGTCAGGGCAGTCTTGGGACTGGCCAAGGTCCCAAGGAATTGGGGAGGAAGGCCCTAGCGTTCGGATTTTCACCCAACCCTAAACCTTATCCTCAGGCAAGGGCTGCAGATGAGCACACTTGTCCAGGAATAAATACATACACACAATACACAGCAATATATACAGAAATGCAGGCCTGGAACAAGGCTGGGTGAGAAAGCATGGCCACCAGACATTAAAGAGAAGTACCAGGCCCCTGGGAGAGGGAAGTTAACACTCCTCAGGGACTGGCAGGTGGGGACAGGTCCCATCAGTGGGAGTTAACTCCTCTGGGCACTTGGACCATACCCCACTCACCATCTACGATTTCCACTCCAGGTTTGCCAGGAACTGGGTCTTTGGCACCAGCAGTCATCCTGGAAAGGTCTTCATCTCAGCGCCTTAGAGGGATTGGGGTCTATGGAGCTCCACTCCTATATCTCAAAGTACTTGAGGCCAGGGCCGGCGGGGGCAGGTAGAACCCAAAGGCAAAGGACCACAACCAAACCTTGGAGTAGCAGGCTTTGAGAAGAGGCCTCTGTTTTTCCTTTTCTTTAGAAGCAGTTCCTGAGGAACTGACTTAACCTGTGCTCCCAGGGCGAGGAAAAGTGAGTGGCTGTGATCTCTCAGTGGTCTGTTGGCCAGTGGAAGCAGGGATTCCTGTGTGTGCATCTCTGCTTCCTGCCAGTGCTGTGGGGAAGCAGGCTGAACGAGGCATGAAGTACTCAAGCCAAACTCTAGGTGCCAGGGTTGGGCTGTATGGTGGGGGCAGTAATAGGGATACTATGGCCATTACTCACAGGACCACTGCACAGATCTGGGGTGCCTGGACAGGGCCTCCCTTGATTTGCCCTCAGATTTTTTTGCATGTTACAAGGTATGAAAGATGGGCTCCCCTTTGAGTGGACAAAGGGATAAGGTGCTTCTAAATAAGCCAGGCTCTGTCCCAGGCCCCATCCTCAGCTATAGCTCTGTGGTTGCCAAGTGAGTAAACAGAGCCCCAGCAAGCGGAGGCTCCCACTCAGCAGCAGGGCTCCTCCCCCGGGGACAGAGCAAACAAACAGCGTCAGGTGAGCGCCACGGAGCTGCTGGCTCTCCGGGCATGCATGAAGGCCAGTGTGCACGAGACTGCCAGCGCGGGGATGTGTGTAAAGAGAAGCTGTGACCTGGCGTTTGGGTAGGCAACATGTACTCCTGTAGCCTTCATTCAGAGCCAGAAGATAAAGGGTGGAGAACTTGGGTTTTGTGGACCGAGGGAGACCTGTGGGAGGCACACTTGCACCTGGCAGAAGAGGGGTCTGTCTCCCACCCCTAGTGCTCTCAAGGAGTGGGTAAAGAGACTAATACCAGACCTTTTAGCACCACGTCTCCCCACCTGTTCAGTGCCTGTGACCGCTGCCCTCCTTCCCCAGTGCTGACCCCAGGCACTCAGTGAGTCCCACCCAGGAAGAAACTGCCAAAATCCATTAGCTGGGTAGGCTAGGCCAAACAGGGCATCCCTTTGTGCTTTGTCCAGGAAACAGGGAGGGCAGCACCTCTTGTCCTGGGATCGGAGGGAGCAGGGGCTGCAGTACAGTTGGAAAGAAAGGATAGACACCCAGGTCCTGTGGATCTCCACCTTCCTGTCAGGCCCCTAGAGGAGAGGAAAGTTGTGCTGTCTTTCCTGTGACTACTGGGGAGTGGGGAGGTGGGAACTGATAGAGGCAGCTGCAGGGGGTAGGGGCAGGGGTGCCACATACCCTAGGCTTCGTGTAAGACTGGACAGGGAGTTGCCAACATGACACCCTTGGCATTTCAGGTCTTCAAAGGGCAGGGATAGAACAAGCCACAGGAAGAGATGAAAGGAGCTGGGTGCACTGCTGAGACCCAGAGGGGGTAGCACTGGAGAACTTGTTACAAGGGAACCAGGGCTGGGTTTAGATGTCCAGGTTAAGCTGTGGCAGAGATGGGTCCCTGGAGAAGACTGGGAAAGGGGAGGATCCCAACTCTTGCCAGTACCAGCAGCCTGTGGCTGGGCTGGGACCTGATCTTGTACAGGAGCAAGGGAAACAAAGCCTAAGGTGGATTTAGGTTATGTGTGATGTAACTATCCACATGAAGGTGGGCAGGAGCCTCAGCCTCAAAGCCACTGTGGAAGTTCTGAGAGCTGGGGGGAGTCTCAGTGTTCGGAGCCTTGGTGCCAGAACCTTGTCTTTTGGGCACTGTGCAGAGGGGCCAGTGAAAACCCCCATTGGCATTCTGTGGCTTCTGAGCCTGAGGTAAAGACCCACTGCAACCTCAACCATTGGCAGGGGGGCCTGAGAAAGGGGGGAAGTCAGTTGAGGATGCTTTTCCTTGCCCACAGCCACACCTCAGCGAGCTAACTAGATAAGCAAAGCAAGCCACCCTCTAGGCCCCAGCTGAGTGGGCAATGCAGTACCCCTTCTACACAGCCTTGGGGACCCAAAGACCATGGCTTCCAAGCACCTGGATTAGAAGGAAATTCCTTCTCATTGCAGATGGGGCCTCCCAGGGCTGGGACCTGACCATCCCTTAGGTCCCTTAGGAATGGATGGTAGGTAGAGAAACATGCACCTCTTAGCTAGGAATTTAGCTCCAGTGTATGGTGGCGTATGTGGTAGTTGGGAGGAAGTCTTGTCTAAGCAGTAAGTTTTTTTCCCCCCAGCAATTCCCTTTACCCTTTGAGAGGATTGATCTCATCTTCTCTCAAGTCACCCAGAGAAGTTCTGGGTGACTTCTTCCTCCTTCCAAGCCCACCCAACTGTGGACCCACCCCAGGCCTTCAGCTGACCACAGTGCCCTAGGCCTGCTTGGTAACCCCGAAGAATGTGGATCCAAAGCCTAGGTGAGCTGTCTGAAGTGGGTGTCCCGCAGCAGGCTGGAACAGGTAGGTGGAAGAGAATCCTCCTTGCTGAGTCTGAGCTGCCTCATGGATCCCCTCTGGCCTGGGGCCTGGCAGAAGCCCCTGACCACAGGGCAGGGCCTCAGGAGGAAGAGGCCTGCCCAAGCAGCTGAAGAGCCTCTGGGTAGTTATTGCAGATCCTCCAGGCGATGACATCAGGTGCTGGTGGTGACAGCTCCCTCTGTGGCTGAGCCAGAAGGCTGCTCCAGCTGGGGATGGGGTAGGGGTTGGAGGACACCTTCTGTCCAAGCTCCTGCTCCTGGGAGGCAGTGCCCTCAATCAGGCCTGTTGCTCCACTGTTCCAGAAGGACAGGATATTCAACCCTTCCCTGGAAGCTGGAGTAACACTAGGCCACTGAAGGTCTAGTCCAAACCAGGGTCCCTCTGGAGTCCAAAGAGCGCCTTGGTATGGGGCTGGCAGGGGCCCTGCAGCCCCCAACCCGGGTTAGCAGCCGCTTTCCACCTTGATGTGCAGGATCTTAGAGAAGCCGGGCCTCCGCCGCAGGGCCTGCAGACCAGACCCTGGGTTAGTTGTCTCAGAGATGGGCAGGTGGAGTCCTGCCGTGCTCAATCACGGCAACCCTAGCCTATGGGTTTCACATGAGGTCCTGGACGGCCTTAAAGCTCATCTCTTACCTGGAGTTTTGTCACCATATCCTCAAACAGCTTCTGGGCCTCAGGGCTGCTGGGCTCCTTGAAGTAATCAGCAATCCCAATCTGGACCACAATGGACTTGAGGTTCCGGCAAATGCCTGGCAAAGGTGGGTAAGGGAGGCCAATGTTTGGCCTGGGCAATGGGGCTGCCCCCCTCCCCCGCCACTAATGAATGAAACCAAACCCCCACTGAGGAACAATTGTGTGTAAGACACTGGGAACGTGAAGGGCAAGCCTGTGCTGGTCAGGGCGTGCAGCTGGACCCGGGAGAAGACGGATGATGGCACTCTGGGAGGATAAGTAGGTAACAGTCAACTGCTCAGAGGCTCTAGCAACTTGTCCAGCAGAGCGGACAGCTATACCGTGGCCTGCCACTTGGCAAACTGCCATGGGAACAGAGGGCAAAAGGGGCTGGGTGTGGCTATAAAGTTAGGTGCGGGCAGGCAGAGCAGTAGGGGCTGAGGGGCCTGGAGAACGTGAGTTCAGAGGCCAAGTAGTGCCTTCACCACAGGGCATGCTGAAGGGGAGTGGAGAGGGGGTCCTGAAGCTGATAAGCTCAGGGCATGGGGCCTCCCAGGAGCCATGTGGTCATGGATGATGGTTTCATTTGGGCAGGAGCTGCCTAAGCTGGACGCCCGTGTCCTCACCTTGAAAGCAGAGGAGTGACTGAAAATGGGTGGTAGGAGGGAGGTGGGGAGACAGAGAAGCCATGATTTGGGGTCCAGGGAGAAAAAGTACTTGCCCCAAGAACTGTCCCGAGGGGCTTACACACATTTTGCCTTTACTTTTCTACCACCTCTATCTTTTAGAACTGTGATGGTTGGGGCCGGGGAGATAGCTCAGCGGCACAAGTACCTGCCTGGCAAGCACAAGGTCCTGAGTTCAATTCCCAGTACCAAACCAAAAAAAAAAAAAATAGAACCGTGATGGCGAACCTATGGCACGCGTACTGCAGCAAGCATGCAGAGCCTGCTCTGTGATGACATTATAAGTTATATGAGTTGTTTTTTTCTAAACTACACCTCAATATTCAGGTTTAACTGTAGGGTTTGGGTTGCAGTTTGGACATTTAGTGTCTAAAAGGTTGACCATTGCTGTCCTAGAAGATCGGCGTATAGGATTCTCAATGGTAATTTCCCTGAAAGTCACACAGCTAATGAGGACTAGAGCCAGATCTGGAACCTAGGGCAGTCCTTCTCCAAAACCTGTGCTCCTAACCTATCTGTCCTGGCTAGAGGCTCAAACAAGGCCAATGGTAGCGCATGGCACAACGGGTGTCTGGAACTGGACCAGATACTGGAGAATCTGGAACGCAACACTGGCCTGGGAAGGCACTGGTGGTAAAGCCAGAACAGAACTCCGGTCGGTGTACCCCCAGGGCTGGTGCTTGCTGATTAGGAGGGATAGGGAATTGGTTTTGCTAACTTGCTGCAGGACATGGTAATGGGTGACAGCCATACCCTGTCCTGTATTCCCCTATTACTCACTGTTGAAGTGCAATAGGGCCTTAGGGGTGACAGGGGTGGCCGTGAGCACCAGCATCTCCAGTCCCTTTAGGCCTTCTCGGCAGACCTCAGCCGCCACCTCCTGGGTGATCTCTGACACATGGTCCAGCTCCAAGACCTGCAGCCGCATGCAGTTTCTTGCTAGAAAGAGGAAGAACAGAGGCCTTGCTGACAAACTCCCCAGGTCACCTCCTGCCTAGTGCCCTGGGTCCCCCTGCCACCACCCTGGTTGCAGCCTCAAGCCCATGTGGAATTTCACAGAGCAGACTTACACTCTTGCCTGGCTCTCATCACTACCCACCCCAGTCCCAAGAAAAAACTCACCAAGTGATGCCAGGCCCTGGACCCCACAGCCAGCGCCCCCAACCCCCAGGGCCCGGAGGTGAGGCCAACAGCGACCAATCATCTGCAGGCAGCGGTTGCTGAAGCGAGTAGGTTGCTGGCTGGAGAATGGAGAGGGGGCATCAGCGAGGCCCCTGGATGCCTGGTTGCAAATATGCCCCCCCCCCGGGGCCCCCTCCTTGCCCCTGGCAAGAGTCCCACCGACAACTCAGCCGGGCAAGTCAGGAAACTGGAGTTATCCGACTCTTCCCCTCTCAAATACATCCTGCAGCTTCTGGTTCCCGAGTAACTAGAACCAGTTCAGACCCCTCCTGGCATTCGTCTAGATTACTGCCAGTCTGCCCGCCAGTTCATGTTCCACACTGCTGACAGTGCCCATTCATTCCTATAGCCGCTCAGCATCCATCAGCAGATGGTTATCAAGTGTCTGCTGTGACTGAGAACAACTAAGCCAGGCCCTGCAGGTGCAGTGCTAACAATACAGACAGGGTCCCTGTTCTTGAGCATAGATAGTTGATTGCACAGAACATTAGCAATCTGATCTCATTCCCCTTTTAAAAAGCCCAACTCCCCCTGACAGCTTCCCAGTACTTTCTGGATAAAATGCAAAAATCTAGACCCCTTAGCAAGGGCCCTTCCTGGCCTTGCCCAGCCTGCCTTTCTGTAGTTGGTTGGGTCTGCCCACCCTACTCCACACCAGACTTGTCCTTTTTCTGAACACTGTCCCTCAACATTCATGAAGGTGGCAGACAACTCTTTGGCACATGCCGTGTATTGGATACCAGGGATACAGAATGGACAGGTACTGATTCTGCTGATGACTGAGCATATCTGATCTCAGCAAATCTGCTGAGAGCCACGTGAATCTACTGTAGGAGACTGAAACAAAAACGACTGCAGTAGCTGGGCATGGTGGCACACGCCTGTAATCCCAGCACTCAGGAGGCTGAGGCAGGAGGATTGCTACAAGTTTGAGGCCAGCCTGGGCTACACAGTGAGACCCTGTTGTTTTTTTTGTTTTTGTTTTTTTTGTTAAGAGTTCAAAATCGATGCTAGCAGGACTAGATATAGTGGGAATTAAGGCAGGAGTGCTATGATAGATTCCACCAAGGTGTTGGTGAAGGCACCCTGGGTGGCCTGGGAGAAGATATGTGCAGACAAGGCTTTAAGGGCAAGGTACAGGGAACAGAAAAAAGCCCGGTTGCTTGAGAAGGTCAAAATAGAGTGAGGGATAACATCTCGTCCTGGATTCTCCAACAAGTAGCTTGTGTATGTTCAACAATGGCCCTGAACTGTCTGTCCTGTGTTTACTGAACACTTACCGTAGGCCCTGCAGGTCCTGGGGATATGACCTCATTGGAGTCGGCAATATCCCTTATAAGGTTAGGGACTTAATACACCTTCGCTTTTTGCAAGCTGAGAAACTGAGACATGGTTGGGTTGTCCAGAGCGGTACTACTCGTAAGCTAGGGCAGAACTCCAGGCCCGATTTCAAAGCCCTGCGCCCAGTGCCTCAATGCACAGATTGCTAGTGTGAGCAAGTCTGTCTCCCCAGCAGCTGACAGAAGGGGCTCATAGCTGCTCAGTCTTCAGTCCCAGCCTAGGCCCAACCATGTCCCCTCCCCACCGTCCCGTGTGGGCTCACCAGGGGTGAAGTGGTGCCACCTGGAGGGAGACAATCTCTCTGCAGCCTGCGCCCAGGGCCCAAATGACCTCATGGCCCACGGGGTCTGTGGCACTCCTGTTGAAAAGAAAAAACTGGAGAGGCCCACCATGATGGCTCCTGCTCCTGCCAAGGGTTCTCTCCCTTGGGCCACAGTGCTCTTATGTCCCTCTACCTGAGAACCCGGGGCAAGGTCATGCAGTGTCTAGGGATGCTTGAGGCCCAAGGCCAAGAGGGCATGGGCTTGCTTCTGGTGGGGAGGACCCACCTGTAGGTAACGGCCTGCAAGGCACGGCAGTAGCAGCTGGCCAGCCAGAGTGAACGATCGGTGAGGATGTTGGGACAGTGGGAGATGCGCAGGATCAGCAGGTTCCCCCCCGCTGCCTTTAGCAAGGACTCCAGCCCTGCTTCAAGGCAGCCCCTGGGGACAACCAAGAGGTCAAGGAGCTGCCTGTGATCACCTCCTCCTCTGGGAAGCACGCCCACTTGGTTGCATGTCTGTGGCCCTGGAACACCCACCCCATGCAGGCCTCACCGGGTGCTGCGGGCATACTCCTCCTTGCTCTCCTTCTTTCCCCGCTGTCGGGGCTTAAGGTTCTGCAGTGTCAGTGAGTGGGCCTGGGTGCACCACTGAGCCAGCATCGCCAGGAACTGTGGGGAGAGAGGGTTCTTGGAGAAAAGGGGTCTGAACTTGGTTGGCTGGAGATGGGACCCCCAAAGTAGAAGGCCCTGTGAGAGCATTTTGTGTGGGCGGGGACAGGCTGGAGGTAGGGTGCTATAAGAGTTGCAAGGTCCAGATTCTGCCAGGGGGAAAGGTGGCTTCCCAGCAGGGCAGGGACAGGCACCTTGGAACAGACTCGGGCGTTCTCCAGCAGGACCCTTGTCCAGACAGCAGGGTGTCGTGCCACGAAGCGCCAGTCGCGGCAGACCTCGGCGGCATGCAGCAGTGTGCGTGTGTCCAGGTAGGTGAAGATGCAGAACAGGGCAGCTCGCATCTTGAGGATCTCTGGGCTGATGACCTCGTTGGAGCGTGAAGGACTACCCCTTTCAGCTCGCCTGCCTCGCCCGCTGCCTCCCTCAGGGCGGGCTGTAGAACACAGGAGATCAAAGGGGACAGTGGAGACAAAGGCCAGTGTGAGGATGTCAGCCGGGAGCTGGGGCAGGAGAGGAGCTGCAGGGAGAACAGGCACGAGAGACCCTGGGGACTGGTGCACTGAGAGGGAGGACAAGGGGCCTTTGCTTTCCCCTCCTCTATGGTACCCTGCCCCTAATTTTACAAGTTAAGGAAAGGTACTCCTTCCTCTGTAAACCTTTTTAAGGGTCATCCCTGACCCTAGAACCTCCTAATCTACTCACAGATGTTCATGGCCTGGGTGCAGATGGGAGGGGCTCTACCCCACTGTGCCGGGGGCCTCTGAGTCTGTAGTGGACACCCAGAGACTCTCCTCTACGTGTTCCTGGACCCCTTTAGAGGCAGGCCTGAGCACCCTGTGCCTCTGCAGCCCTGCCACGAAGTCTCTGTACTTTGTAAGGGGTGAGCGAGTTGGGGGCAAGAGGAAAAGAGATGCAGTAGCCCTATAGATCCACTGCGTCTGCCTGAGGAGGCCCAGCTGGCCTCTCTACCCCTTCCCGGGACTTACCTGAGAGCCTGCGGCTGCTCAACGGCCCAGCCATAGCAGGCCCGGAGCGAGGGACGTCTGAGGGGCCCTCGGCCTCTGACTCAGTGGTTCGGGAGCCCACGTCTGAGACATCACCCTCTTCACCCTCAGTACTGTGTCGGCGGGGTCTGCGCTGCCAATTCTGGATGGCCTGGCGCCGCAGGCCTGAGCTGCGAGGGGGCTGGGACCGCTCTGAGGCGCCGTTGGTAGCCTGGGCCCGCGAGCCCAAACCCCCAGGGCCACTGTCCTCAGGGGTCCCCTCCTCTTGCCGGGGCAGCTCCAGACTGTCACTGTCATAGCAGCCTGAGCTCTGGGATGCAGCTGGCACACGGCTGGAAGCCCTGGGGCAGGGTGGACCCGGTGGTGAGGGATGAGGGGCACCAGGCTGCCCGAGCTCTCCACCCTGCCCCTATCACCAGCCAAGCGCGACCCACCCACCCCACTTCCCAACAGCTCCCTTCCAGTGTGGAAAGGCAGACAGGTGACCCACAGAGGATGCGCATGGGAGGAGGCAAGCCCCCACGGGCCAGTGGATCGGTCCAGGGTAAGGGTGGGCTGTGTGGGGCAGACCAGACTCGAGGCTTACCCTGTGCTGGGAGAGGAGCCATGCCGTGACACTGCGTATGTGCTAGGCATGGCGGGGCCCGCGTGGTGTTCTCGCTGTGGACCCCAGAGCAGGTGGGAAAGGAAGGGTGGGCAAAGGAGGCAAGATGGTAAGCAGGCAGCGTCAGGAGAAAGCGTAAGATGCAGAGAAGAGAGGAAGGAGAGAGAAGAAGAAAAAAGTTGGGAAAGATGGACGAATAGACAGACAGACAGCCCGAACAGGCAGGTTCACCAGCCCCCTCCCCGCACCTGCCCAGCGCCCAGACTCTGGAGGGTGGCTCCCGGGCTCTCAATCACAGGGATGGGCAGACATGGACCCCTGAGGGCTGGGCTGCTGGACCACGCCTTCCTATGGCTTCAGACACCGGCACTCCTGCCCAATCGGAGAGGCACCCTGTTCCTGGACCCCTACTTTAGGCCTGGATCTGCTCTCAAGGGAAGAGCCAAAGAAGGGGAAGCACTCCAGGGGCTGTGAGACTGTATGTGAACGCAGGCTGTGGGGGCCAGGAGAGAGGCTGGTGGGGCAAGGGGCACTCACCATTCTGCCTGGGCCCCGGGCCCCGGGCCCTGCGCCACTGCCCCCACCTTCACGGCCCAGGCTGGCACTGGGTGTGCTGCCACAGCTGCTGCTGATGACCTGCAGCTGCCGCTCAGCGCGGTCAGCGCGTTCCAGAAGCTCCTCGATGAACTGCTGCAGTCGCAGCTTGGCACTTGCCTCCCGTGCGGCGGTCTCCTTCAGGAACTGGTCGATCTGCACCACCTCCCTGGGCCCAGAGCAGTCTCTTACCCCAGGGCCTCACCCTGGCTGTCCCCCACCTTCCGGAGGACAGTCTGGCTAGTGGGAAGACACAGGGCCTGGCTGCTAATGGTCACACGGAGCCATACAGAACAGGCCTAGCACACAGCCTCACAAAATGACACACACACACAGAAATGCAAGCACACACTGAGTCACACACTCATACTCCCCTTAGCCCTAAACACACAACTAGACATAGCACTCACCTATTCAGAAGTACTTGGAGGCATACACAGTCCTACACACAAACTCCTTCGGGCACACACAGAGCCCATACCTCTATTCCATCCCTGCCAGCTCACACAGGAACACAGAGACGTACCCAGTTACCTTTGGCCTCAACACACAGCCACGTACACCTGTACCCACACATGGCCCCATACATAGCCCCCAGTGCAGTCCCATGCGTCCTTATACGTGTCCTCATTCTCAGGCACACACTTATTCTGAGACACACAAAGCACTTTGGAGGCACACGCACATGGACACATTCAGACATACACACACTCTTTCAGAAACACTCCAAAATACAGTACATCATCACATCAGCACGGACAGACACACTCAGATGCAGAAGCAGAGTTTACACCAGTCGCCAGGAGTTACACCTACAGTTCCGAGTATGTTCTCCCAAATGCGTGCATGGTTGCTCACACCTCCATTCAACACTTACTGAGCACCTTCTAGGTGTCAGGCACTGTTCTAGGTACTGGGGAAACTTTGGTGAACACAAATAGAAAAAGCTCTGCCTTTACAGAATTTATATTGACAAAAAGAAAAAAAAAAGAATACAGAATTTATATCAAAATGGAAACAGTTAAACATCTATATATTCATAATCCTACATCCTACAAGATGAAAAGTGAGGAAAAGCCAACAAAGATTGAGAAAGAGCAGACAAAAAGGAAGGAGGAAATCTAGGGACAGCACTGTGGAAGCCAAGTGAAGAAAAGTGTTTAAGGATCAGCTGAGTCAAATGCTGACCGGCTAAGTAAGAGGAAGACCTGGACTCACCAACGTGAAGTGACACGGGGACAGAGGCAGATGTGGAAACCCGATCAGAATGGGTTCTAGAGAAAACCCAAGGAAAGAAATTGGAGACTGGAAGTATAAGGACTACTTTCAAGGAGTCTTTTCTGCAAGGAGGAGAGAGAAAGGGGAAGCAGCTTAAAGGGGAAGTGGAGTTATGGTGCGTGAGAAATGACACCAGGTTTGTGAGCTTTTAGGAATGATTAGGCAGACAGGGAAAATCTGATGAAGGAAACAGGAGAGGAGGAAAACTGGACTGTGTCTTTGAGTAGGCAAAAAAGAAGAAGGTACGGTGCCCAAATGCAGGTGTTGGCCTTGGCTGGGACAGAGAGGGACAAGAAACAGGCAGTCAGCTGGGCATGGTGTGGCATATACTTGTAATCACAGCACTCTAGGAGGCTGAGGCAGGAGGATCGAAATAAAAAATTAAAAAGGCCTAAGAGTGTAACTCTGTTAAGTGGAAGCCTGAATTGAATCACCAGTACCAAAAACTAAAAGCCAACCAAACAAAAATAAAACAAAACAAAACTTTAAATCATTGTATTTAGCCAGGCATGGTGACGCACACCTGTAATCCCAGCACTTGGGAGGCTGAGAGAGGAGGATCGTTGCGAGTTTGAGAACAGCCTGGGCTACAAAGTGAGTTCAAGGCCGACCTGAACTGCAGAGTGAGACCCTGTCTCAAAAAGTAAATAAATAGATAAATAAATAAATAAATCATTGTATTTAAGCCAGGAAGTGTCACATGCCTGTAATCCCTAGCACTCTGGGAAGCTGAGGCAGGAGGACTGCAAATTTTAGCTCAAGCAGGACAACTTAGCAACTTGGTAAGCGCCTGTATCAAAAAGTTGGCCAGGCTGGGAATGTGGCTCAGTGTGAAGGCCCTGGGTTCAATCCCAGTGACAAAAGAAAATAACCAGGCAGTCTTCACAGACAAGCATGTGGTTACACACACACACAAAACACCATTCCATGCTCATCACTGACCCCACACTACAAAGCCATGGCTACACACAGACACTCAGGGCGGCACGGCAAAGTGACACGGGGACACGTGCAACAGGCCCTCAGGGCCTACTCACTGCTGCTTGCGGCTCAGCTCCTGCTCCTTGTGCACCAGGTCCTGCTTGAGGGAGGCCAGCAGCTCCACGCTCACGTCCACCTGGCGAGAGAGCTCGGATGCGCGCTCCTCCAGCTCCTCCTTCTCGCGCCCCAGCCGTGCGCTCTCCTGGCGAGCCGTCTCCAGCTCGGCAGCCTTGCGCTCCAGTTCGGCCTGCAGCCGGCCCACCTGACCCGCGATCTTCTGCTCCACCTCCTCGCTCAGCCGCTCCAGCCGCCGGTCCACCTCGAGCTTCTCCAGCGCGCGGATCTTGAGGCGCGCCAGGCCCTCCTCGTAGGCCACGTCGGCGGGCGAGGGGGACGCAGGCGAGGCAGAAGCGGGCCCGGAGCAGGAGCCAGGGCCAGGCCCGGGCGGTGGTGTGGAGCACGCCGAGGACGCCACAGACTTGCGGGCGAACAGCTCCCCCAGGGGGATCTCGATCTCGCGGAGCGCGTACCGAGCGGCGGCGGCGGGCACCAGGCCTGGCTCACCCAGCTCCTCACAGGGCAGGCTGGCGGGCACCAGGTCGCCGGCGAAGTGGGCGAGGGGCGCGTGGTGGTGGTGGTGGTGCAGCAGGTGTGGTGTGGCGGGCGCCGGCCCAGCCACCTGCTCCTTGCCCTGGAAGGACGTGCTCTCGAAGACCTCACGCCGGGCGCCGGGCACCGCCAGCAGGGCGGCGGGCTCGGGCGCCAGGGGGAACCCTGAGGCCGCGGCGGCAGCGGCGGCAGCGGCGGCAGCACCATCACATATGCTGTTGGTCTTGGAGAGGATGTACAGTGTCTCGTACGTGTGGCTGTACTCCAGGTGCGCGCGCAGCGACGACAGGCTCCGGAAGCGCTTGTGCTCCCCGCAGCGGGGACAGCGGTACGGCAGGTCCAGCGAGGCCATGGCCCCGCTGCCCCCGCGGCGTGCCGGCTCCACCGCGGCCCCCACGGGTCAGCCGGGAGCGCTCATGGGGGGCCGCGGGGCAGCCCCGCTGCGGGATCAGGCAGGATGAGGGTGGCCGTGGCCAGGGCAGAGGCAGAGGTGGCTAGAAGAGAGGGAGCAAGTCTTATCAGGCTGGTATCCCACATCCCTCCCAGGTTCGGTTCCCTATTCCCCCACTCAAGGGAAAACTGACTTCCCCAGGAAACTCATGCCCAGAACGGTGGGGCCAGGGGAGACCAACGGCCACACAGCCCCGAAGCGGGGCCCTGCTCTTGGTACCTGTGCAAGCGCCTGTACATGTGTCAGAATAAGATAGTGAAAACTCTTTTTATTTTTTTATTATTTTTTTTTGTTTTGTTTTTTCTCCGGTACCGGGAACCGAACTCACGACCTTGCGCTTGTCAGGCAGGCACTTTTGCCGCTGAGCTAAATCCCCAGCCCCGTGAAAACTCTTTTTAAAAAATTTAAGGAATTGTACACTTTTGTTCACTTTGGTTCTAACCTAGAAACAACCCAAGTGCTCATCAACAATAGAATGGATAAATGGTGATATATTCAGTAATGGATTACCATCCACTAATAACAAAAGGAACTGTTGATATGCACATCAACATAGATGAATTAATTAAGTTTTATGTTACAGGAAAGAAGTCGGACCCCCAAGTGCATCCCGCAGGATTCCACAGAGGTGGAGTTCCAGAACAGACAAAATTGATAATGACAGAAGTCAGAGTACAGGTTATCCTTCAGGGATATATGGACTGGGTGGGGGCAGAAGGGAATCTTTTATGATGCTGAAATGTTCTATCTATATCTTGGTGTGAGTAGTGCTTACACATGTAGACAATCACCAAACTGTAACCAAGATTAGTGCCTTATATATCTTTAATGTATATTCTAGATAAGAAATCCTTAAAACAGGCATGGTGACACACACCTGTAGTCCCAGCACTTGGGAGCTTGAGGCAGAAGGATCATCACAAATTCAAGGCCAGTCTGGGCTACATAGTAAGTTCAAGGCCAGCCTGAACTACACAGTCAGATACTGTCTCAACAAACAAAAAGGGAAGGGGTGCTTATTTTAATGTTATGCAAATTATACCCATCATACAAGCTGGACTTTTGGTACCACGCTGCCTGCAGTAAGATACCAAGGCACTTAATGAAACCTGTGTGTGTCACTGTAGGTCCTATCCCTGTCTGTACTATGCCCCACCATCCCTGCTACTCCAGCCACCTGAGTCTTTCTGCAGACCTGGAAAAGGTTAGGTAGCTATGGTTTGTATCTATATGTCCCCTCAAAGCCTCATGCCGTCGTGGGGTGGGCTTCTAGAGGTTTTGATTGATCCATGGTCCAATGCTGGGATTATGGGTGTGAATGCCGCACCCACCCTGGGGCGGGAAGCCTGCCCACAATATAAGGGAGGGGAAGAGGCTTGCTCTTGTTTCTCCCTTTTTGCTTTTGCTGCTTTTGCTGTTTTCTGCCACCATGAATTATTGCCCTCTGCCATGTGCTACCCTGCCTTGGAGCCTGCTGAGTATGGAAACCTCCACAAACTGAGCTAAATAAACCTTTCTTTCCTTAATTTTGGGCTCAGGTATTTTGTCTCAGCAACAAAAGAAAAGTAACCAAGAGAGTAGCCTTCCAATAGCTGTCCCTGTCGAACTTTCACTCCAAAAGCTGTATTACCTGTCTTCCCCACAATCTTTCTGGCACAGGTCCTCTATCCCTATGGCATCGTACCCCTTTCAATCTAAATTCCTGCTGCCCCCTCTCTGCCCATCTTTGGCTTCCTGTCACCCTTCTCCTACCTTGTGGGGTCTCTAACCTCTTCCTCAGTGCTGTCCTTTTCCTAATTCTCTGCATTCAGGCTCCAACACACTCTGCTGTCATTGTGCTCCTCAGGATTCCGGACCACCAGCTACTAACTGGATAATCCAGTTACATCAGAAGTCTTTCTTGGCTTGGTCCCTTAGCTGATACTCTTGACTCTTCTGTCTTCTTAGACTTCCACAATGCTGCTTCAATTTTCCTCTGGATTCTTCAACTTCCTGCCTTCCAAAAATTACTGTCTCTTGGTGGGGCATCTCCTCCACTCCACCCCCCACCCCCAAGGAATCTGGTTCACTCCCACAGATTCGCTCATACCTGGAAGCTGTTGTTTCTCCATCCTGACCTGCTCCTGAATTATTTTGCTATTTCCACATGAGTGTATGGGTAGATAACTGTTCCCTTTGCTATGAACTACCCAGTCCTCTTCAAAGTATCTGCACCCTGCTCTGACCTTGGGAATTGTCTTCCTTACCCACTTTCTCAGTCTATGTGGCCTGCGGGCTGTGACTTTGCCAGGCTATCAGAGTCCTGGGATCAGCACATAGCACCCAGGTTGACCCCAAGACTGTTCTGCAACTACGAAGAGAAGCATGCTTCTTGGGTTCAGGTTTCTAAGGTGATGGGGAGGATCAGAGGTAGCAGGGCTATCTTTATCTCTTTTGGGGAGGAGCTACCCTGGGAATGAATTCACTCGCTCAGAAAAGTGTCACTGAGATGGAAAGAGAATTTCTTACAGATACTATAAAACCCTGGCCTGTTCAATTATGCGAACTAATCAAGTCTCTTTTTTGACAAACCTACCTGTGATTACAGTCAGGTCTACACTTATAACAGGAAAAAAGTCCTACTCAAAAAATTGGAATTAGAGACAAAATTTTCTTTTTTCAAATAGTAAGTTCTAAAAAGGAATTAGCTGAACTAAGAGGGCTGGCATAAGGTGGTATGCCATTCTGAAGCTGGTGAACCCCGTCATACAGCAGCAGAGCACCTGATTAAACTGTTTCTCACGGCCCCTGGCACTGAGGTCATGCACCTCCCAAGACTGGAACTTTGGGAGACTTCGAGGAAAATGTCGGATGTTGGCAGTGTGATCTTTCCTGTGGCCTCAGTCAGGTCCAGCAAGAAAGAGACACACGCTCTGGTTGACTGGGGCCCTACTGAAAGCAGAGGAAGAAGAGATGGCTTGCTAGGAGAGGCCTTTTCTGCCTGAGGCCAGTAACCCAATATGGCTGAGAGTCAGATAATTAAGAGCCAGTTCTGTGCTTCTAGCTGAAGTCAGCTCAAGCAGAGAGAGGGAGGCTGCAAACTCAAAGGGAGAGCAGCCTGGGGCCTGACAGCCTCTTGACTCCTCAGGCCCTGCTGTGCCCTCCCAGCACCACGGAGGTTTCCATTATAAGCAGCCTTTTGTTGAGATGGAGCCTGAGAAGGAAGGGGCAAAGAGCTCTGCCTCCCAGCCCGCTAGGGATTTGTACAGCCTTGTGGCAGAGGCCCACAGAGAGGCCCCAGAACCCTGGGCTCCCGGGATGGGCGGAGCACCTGGGAATGTTGCTAAGAGACAACCCTCTTCTCCCTCACCACCACCACCAGGGATTCCATTCAAGAATTCTAACTTTTGATAAGGTCTTTAGCTTTGACTAATATCTCCAGGGATGCCTGAATACAAACTGACTGAGAAGTTTCCTAATGATTAATGGCACTGTATATCGCCAGAAACCCCACAAACCTGGAAAGCAAGGCAAGATTACTCACCCCCTAAGGTTGTTTCCTTGTGTCCCCTAAACCTGCACCCCTTAATGCCCCTCGCATGTGACCACAGAGCACGGAGGGAGAGACAGCAGAAGCAGAGCAGCTGGCTGGAGAGCCACGGAGCCTCTTCCTTGCCATTCCGTCAAGGGTGTGGACCGTGAGGGACTGTTGTCCTCTCCTTGCCTCTTCAACGAGGACACTTTTTGTTCTTTCAGCTGTCTAATTTTCCCTCTAGCATGGTAGTCTGGCCACAAATTGAAAGACCCGGAGGGGTTAAGCTTAGTACCTAACCAAGCAGACAGGTCTTCTACAGGTCTTCAACTGGGGCTGAGGATGTGGAGTGGCTCCTTCCAGACATGGGCCAGCCAGGTTTAAATCTTGTGTGGAATGGTTGCATTATGATACATAGGGAGATAATTTAAAATTACCCAGGAAGGTCTGTGTAGTTCTCATACAGCTAAGAAGTGGGAATGTAGTGTTTATTAAACATCTATTGTTTTGTTGTTCAGTTATAGTTCCTCTTTGTGGATGGATCCCCCACTTCCCTTAGAGATCCTTTTCCCCCACTATGATTGGGTTCAGATGGGGGACCCCAGGCATTGGCTCTAGGACAGCACATGTGTTCCTCAGTCTGGTCCACTGGAGATCAGATCAGTAATGCACACGTAAGCCAGTATAGGCACCCCAGGACCTGTGCTCAGCTGGCGGAACATGAGCCTGTGGAGCTGCTTATAGCCATTTCTGACCTCTTTTGGGGAGCGAAGAAAAGATTCCTGCTGATACCACTTCAATAGCTATATTCAGATGCACCCAAAACTTTTACCCAGGACTTGTCAGTTACATGGGACAATGTATTTTTTGTAGCTTAAAACATCTGAGTCAGTTGCTGGTCTTGAGTAATGAGACTCCAGTGACCACAATGCCCTACAGTGTCAAAAACAAATCCTAGACTTCCCCTCATCCACTCCTCTCACTATCTGTTTCCTTTAGCAGTGCCACTGTCCTCCCAGCCACATACCACCGGCCATCTTGATTTTCTTTCTCTCTGCTAACCATAAGGATCTACTGGCTTTTCTTTTATTTTGTTTTTGTTTTTGTTTTTTCTTTTTCTAAGACAGGGTCTTGCTATGCAGTTCAAGCTGGCCTTACACTCACTATTTAGCCCGGGTTAGCCTCGAACTTGCAGTGATCCTCTTGTCTGTGCCTCCTTAGTGTTGGTATTATAGGCGTGCACCACCACACTTAGCTTCTTATTGGTTTTTCTTTGGAATACTTTTAACCCAACTTTTTTTTTCAGTACCAGGGACTGAACAACCTAGGGCCTTTGCACCCCCAGCCTACTATCCCAACAGGTTTTTTTTTTTTTTCTTTTTTGAGACAGGGCCTCACTATGCAGTTCTGGCTGGCCTTGAGCTCATTTTGTAGATCAGGCTGGTCTCAAACTTGCAATGGTCCTCCTGCCTCAGCCTCCCGAGTGCTGGGATTATAGGTATGTGCCACCATGCCCGGTTTACCCCAAAAAGGTTTTGAGGCAGGCTGGGCTTGAACTTGCAATCTGCCTAGCTTCCCATGGTGCCAGGATTACAGGTATGCGCCATTGTGCCTGACTTCAGTTGCTCTCTCTGTCTCTTGTTCTTCGGGGTCACAGCCTCCTCCCACCTGGGCTGCTGGCGCAGTTCTCTTCCAGTCTCTATAAGGTGCCAGATGCCTTTTTCTGCAGATGATTCCCCACTTAGACTCCGTCAGTGGCTCTCTATCATCTACCAACTGCAGCTAAATTTCTCCACTTCACCGTCTGGTCCCACTGTACTCTTACCAATTTGTTTTTTTTGTTTTTCGTTTTTATCTTTTTGAGACAGGGTCTCACTATGCAGTTCAGGCTGGCCTTGAGCTCACTTTGTAGCCCAGGCTGGTCTCGAACTTGCAACGATCCTCCTGCCCCAGCCTCCCAAGTGCTGGGATTACAGGCATGCGCCAGCACACCTGGCATTCTTACCAATTTGAAAGTGAAAAAATGACTGTTTGCTTGCATTTCTTTGATTACCATGGTTGGACATTTTCCCACACACTTGTCAGTCATTACATCTCTTTGGTCACTTGCCTATGCACTACTTTGTTCATTTTTATACTGAACATTCACATTAACTTATTGATTTGCAAAGGCTTTTTGTAATATTGATCCTTATTTATATGCTGCAAATATTTTCTCAAGTATGTTGATTGGCTTTTACTTTTGTTTATGGTTTTTATTGATATACTAAAGTTTTAAGGTATGATTTAGTAAAAATCTTTATGAGTTCTGATTTTGTTGTTGTGCTTAGCAAGTCCATCCCTACCCAAAGACTATACATAGATACATATGTCTTTTTTGGTATTTCTGATTTCAGCTATTTTTTTTTTGTTTTGTTTTTGAGACAAGGTTTCACTATGCAGTTCAGGCTGGCCTTGAACTCACTTGGTAGCCCAGGCTAGCCTCAAACTCACGGTGACCCTCCTGCCTCAGCCACCCAAGTGCTGGGATTACAGGCATGTGCCACCACACCCAGCTGTGATTTCATTTTTTTAAATTCCAGATTTGAAAAAAAAAAAAAAAAAAAAAAAAAACTAGTACTTTAAACAAACAATCATAAACTGACAAGGACTTGGTAGCATGTGAACACTTCAGGATATATGTGTTCCTTTTTTACATTTGGATTTTTAATCCATCTAGAAATATCTGGTGTGCATGGTGAATTAGTATCTAAAACAAGCAAGTTTTCATCATGGACATTTTCATATATATTCCAAAATGGAATGTAGTGATGAACCCTATTACTCATCATCTAGATTCAACAATTAACAATTCATGGCCAATTCTCCCCACACCCTGGGGTAGTGGGGATTGAACTCTAGGTTTCATGCATGATAAGTAAGTACCCTGCCACTGAGCTACATCCTCAACCCTTACTTATTTATTTATTTTTAAATTTTGAGACAGAGTCTCATTAAGTTGCCCAGGCTGCTCTCAAGTTTGTAATCCTTCTGCCTCAGCCTCTGAAGTAGCTGGCATTAACAGTGTGTGCTACCACACTTGGCTTCCAATTTTTTTATCTGCACACTGCTCTTCTGTTCCATTCTTGACACCTGGATACTTTTTAGAAAATCCTAGATATATTATTTCATGCACAAATATCTTAGACTTAATTTTCTTTAAAAAAAATAAAAATAAATACTTAGTAGTTGCTCTAATCTCATTATTCTTTGGGTATATTAAAATCCAAAGCAGCCTTGAGAAGTAAAGCCAAAAGAAAAATACCAGCAAAATAAAATATTTCTCTGGAAGAGACAGTGAGAGAGAGAGACAGAGAGAGAGAGGACAGAGGAGAGAGAGAATGAGAGAGAGTGAGAGAGAGTGAGTGAGAAAGAGAGAGAGAGGACACACAGAGAAAAAATTCAATTACTAAAATGCTATCAGGTATAACTCTTGGCCTAAATTCCTAAAAATCTAAATGAACTGAATGTTTTTCTAGGAAAATATAAATGATCAAAATTGACTCAAGCAGAAATAGAAAACCCGAACAGACCAGCAACTATAGACAAAACTGATGAAGTTGGCAGAGTGAATACAAATACTAGAGTTCAGTGTACACACACACACACACACACACACAGAGCGCTGTCCAAGAACAGAGCTATCCTTTAATATATGGTCAGCCTAGTATCATGGCATCTGCATGTGCCTGTCCTTTCCCACTAAGTGCTAAACAGGTCCTTTCTGTGGGTAGTACCTTTCAGGGCCTTAGAAACACCCAGCCTTCTCTCTCCTTGCCTCCTACACCATGTACTTTGTAAGCATCTTTTTCTTCTTTTTTGCCCACACATCACCCCGCTAGCCAGGATCTATGAGCAAGGGGAGGGAAAAGTCTGGGGGTGCAGACCTGTGGATAGATGTGCAAGGTAGAGGAGAGGCTTCTAGGGTCCAGGTGGCTCTTCGCCCCACTACAGCTCACCCTACAGTTCATCTCCATCTGTTGGAGCTGAGGAATGACTATGAATCATTCTTAGAAATATTTTTGTTTCAGCTCACACACGTCCTTAGCATGAGTGTGAAGTTTTGCCTGAATGCAAGCAAGAAGGTGATGCGGGTGGCGGGTAAGAGGGAAAAGAGGAAAAAGACAAATACAAGCAATGTGTATTCAAACTCCAGCAGAGTGCTGTATTATGAGCACTGCTGCAGAACAAATAGACTTTCCTTCCATTCTAGTTTCCCCAGGCAGCAACCTCTGAAGCCTTAGGACCTGTCTCCTTTTTTCAGCCTGGTCCTGCCACTTTCCCAGACCTGCTATACTTCTTCTCCCATCTGCAATGCCTATCTCTGCATTTTTTTCAAGTCCAGCTCAAGGTTTTCTTTGAATATGATTCCATGGGCTAAACTAATCAGAGGCTATGCATTTACTGCTTGATTGATAGGCTTTTGTGTGTATGTTTTACCTCTTTAAAAGACCAATGATTTCAAGTGTGTCAACTCT